ATATATATGTTTGAAAGAAATGCTTTATTCTGTATAATTAGTCTATGTTTTGTTTTTGCTTGTATGCCCCATCATAACTCATGTACCCCATGAGCTATTTGCATCAAACTCTTTTAAACCACAAGAAGAAATCTTCTATTTTTGGTTTGAAAAATTAGATTAAATCTCCAGACAAAGCTGGGTTCCCATTCTAGTGTACAATAAATTTAAAATTATTAAATATTTTAAAATAATTATAAATCTTTTTTAAAAAATTTATTTTAGGATCGATATGATCCATTTTCTTTCCACGACACAGCAACAAAACCACCACTGCACAATATTTTCAGGTGAAATCAATCATTCTCAAATAGTCAAGATTCAGACATAGACCTCAATATCTAGTTGTCTAATCCCTATAGATTTGCAACCTGCAAAATAACGTTGTCTCTTTTTAAGACATCAGGTTGCAAAAATATATTGATTAGACAATTAATATTTAAGACAAGATGATAAGTTTCATTACTGAAATGTTATGAAAGAAAAGATTTTTTAGTTATTATTTATAAACAAACTGTTAATCGATTGGTCTACAGTGAGAAACAAAAAACTGTGGAATAGGAAAACGACATTACAACACCATTTATCAAGTGAAATGGGTCTGTTGCTGTCATAAATTTTGTCTATAAGTCGTCTTCATATTTCAAAGTTTTCTAGGTCTTACTGTATATGTTACATTAGTTTAAATAATAGTTACCATACTGATTTAAAAATATGTCAACGTTTATTAATGTAATAAAAAAATATATTTAGAAGTGAGTAATTTTACCTTGGGAGTTTACATTCGAACCTTGAATTGTAACATTTTTCTTTTCTTAAATTATCTTATTTAAAGGGACTGTAAGCGTAATTTTAAGTGACGCTCTAATTAAAGAGGTACATTTCCGATTCACGACGGTACCCTTGAAACCTTTATCTGAACAATAATGTTGAGGATATTGTCGTTTTTCTAGAAATAAAAGTTCTTAATTCCAAAGAGAAACCACAATTTAAAATATATAATCAGTTTTCAAAATTGTAAATCATTTATATACTTGATCAGGTAAAGCTTTTAAGGGTTCTGTTGTGAATCGGGCATTGCCATCTTTGCCTGGAGGGTCACTTGAAATTACGCTAACTGTCTCTTTAAACAATAATAATTTTAGATCTACTGAGCGTAGTTACACTGTCCAACAATTTCAACCGCTGAGTGTGATTGATTCTAGACATTCAGTACAGGTTGGACATTTATTTTCAATACACAATACTTTATATTCAGTGCAGGTTGGACATTTATTTTCAATACTTTATATTAAGTACAGTTTGGGCATTTATTTTCAATACTTTATATTAAGTACAGGTTGGGCATTTATTTTCAATACTTTATATTCAGTACACTGAGTACAGGTTGGGCATTTATTTTCAATACTTTATATTCAGTACACTGAGTACAGGTTGGGCATTTATTTCAATACTTTAAATTCAGTACAGGTTGTCCAATAAACATGATAACTAAGAGACAACTTGAAAATCGTCTTATTTATTAAATAAATTTGAATTTGAAAGGTATAAAAAAGGTAGATCACATTTAGCAAAGCTCGAGACAAATGGGGTTTAAGTGGTTTTGGTTTTAAGTGGAATAACATGGGAAAAAATAACTCGTGGCGCTATGAAAGTTGTCACTTGATCCATGCATGTTTATTAATGAATGGAACTCTCTAAATTGTAATACGCACTTTGCATCTTCATATTTAATTATTCAATCAAATGTGAATAGGATGTTTTCAAAAATAAACTTTTTAAAAAAAATTTAATTTTTTGTTGCAATTTAACCCTTAAATAATTGTACAATACAACATAATCATAAATGGTTAGATTTAAAGTGTCCTGATTATTTATACATTGATAAGCAGAAACTTTTTTTTACCGTGTTTATTTTTAAATATTTCTAATATATCAAATGACTTAATGATGTTTACTGTTAAGGAACACTTACCAAAGTACAAACCGGTAAAATCTACCAAATCTCCAATTATTGTCAACTTCAACGAAATCAGAGGTATCTTGTTAAACTTTAATAAATTGCAAATCTTATGTGCTTTAATTCACAACTGTTCTTTTTGAAAAGAGCTGTTAAAAAAGAACAAAAATTTGTAAAATTCCTCATTAAAAACCAAATAGATTTGCTTTTCTCATTCTTGTGGGTAGATCCAACATAAGAGGAGCTACGAGCGAGGTCACAAAGTCTTACCAGTAATGTCGCATAAATATGACCTTCCCCTCATTTTTTATCTATCTCTATAAAATAAAACAAGCCATTCATATATATGTGTTGCCCACGGCCACAGCCAGCCAAACGGCTGGACCTAATGGGATGGATTTTTTTGTGTGGACACTAATGAGTGGCCGGGGTGTTATGTGCTTAAAAACGATTTTTTAATCCAAATTTTTGTTTTTTCTTTCAAAAATTAAAAAACAAATCAACGGGCAACGCCGGGCCTTTCAGCTAGTTCTTTTAGTCCCTAATAGCTTTAACCATAAAAACAATAATGACGAAACTATCTAGGTAAACATGACTTTGAAATTGGAACAGATCTTAGGGTTAAAAACAGAGACAGGTAACCCAAACCAAAACATTATAAGTTTCGCAAAGTTTTCATTTAAGAATTGTTTGCGGCATTTTCGCTGAAGCCCTTTGGTCGTCTTTGCATTGCATTTAAAACGTATTAATCAATATTCAGGACATTTGGAGAGGAGAGAAATAAAGAAAGACACAGTTTCTTCAATGCTGACACTCAGGAAATGAAGTTCACAACTTGGCAGGAAGAGCCTATCACTGAATCGTATTATGGGAACAAAAAACAAGAGATTAGCCATGGGGCAGGTATTCATTTTGCCATTTAAAGTGGCATAGGAGTGCAAATTCTGATATATTTGAATAGCCGTAGTTTTCAACTCGTTGTGTAAAAAGATGAAATGTTTTCCAGCGAACTTTTTCAAGCCAGCTTATTTTGGACAAAATTGCATTACTCTAATTTCGATGGTAATGGAGACCCACGGAGGATTTTTTATTCGATGCAAAAATTCCTTATTATTATGTAACCTTAGGTCGGAACTTTTAAGTGGTGCTTTTTACTATATCCAACAAGGGCACTTGCAGATTTTAGGATACATGCTTGATTCCTTAATCTTAGTTATTTTTGCTGAGTATGACAAACATGGGATAACGAATAGAAATTAAACTGCACAAGTGGTGATCAATGCTTGATTCTAACTTCCCATGTTGTTTTCTGTTTTTAAAGAAAACTTGTCCATAAAATAGTAAATCATTTAATTTACTACTTTGCCGCAAACTCTGATTTTCTAATCCCTACATCTTTGAACCTTAGATATTTCTAACTATGAATTCCCTTAAATTATTTATCCTAAGGTTGAAATGTCATAGACCTACACCACAAGGTTGCGAAGATAGAGGGTTTAGAAAATTTAGTTTGTGGCAAAAGCTCAATTTCTTTATGTCATAGCAATTATTTAATAAAATAATGTTAAAATTATTTCAGGATACAAAGGAGCCATCAATCCAATATTCGTCTCACTGGATCAGGAAATCTTTCATTCATAAAAATAATTTAAAAATAAAATAAGAAGTTCAAATTCAACTGACATCACTGCTACGACTTTGTGCCTTTGTTGCTCCACTAGCTCTGACGGAACGTAAGTACAGGGTGTCCCAATAAACATGCGAATTCAGTGACGAATTCGATATCATCTTTTTAAATAATTCTTTGATTTAGTATAGTGATACCTACTGAGAAAGCTGTACTCTGTAAGATTTTCGTCTGCTATGTTTACATTTTGTTTGTTTATGTTTTCCCTGCATACGATTGTACTTAGTAAAACAAAAAAAATTGCAGTATACAAACAGAGTAAACTTCTTCACTGTTCATCTTGTGAAGACATTATAGACCCATCTTTACAGTCTTTTACCCTTTTCATAAAACAAACTCTAGCAGACATAATAATATTATGGCTTTTGAAATTAGGTATTACAATGCTAATTCATATAACAAAGACGATATCCAATTCGTCACTGAATTCCCATGTTTTTTGGGACACCCTGTATGAAAAATGAATATTCATTCGGTTAAATATTAGCAATTCAAACTTCTCAGAAGCTCTTTAATAAGAGGAGTTATTATGAAAAAACGTTTAAGATTTTAAAATTAACGTGATAGTTTACTTTAGTTAGACGTGACTTTAGATATATAAATATCAAGGCAAAAAGGTACGAATTATATTGAGATTTTTGAACGGAATTGAATTAAAAAATCTGAATTTTTAATCTTTTTTCTTCCCCCTCTTCAATTGTAAGATTTGCTCCAGGCTGAGAACCGAGAGATTCTTTCCCAGGTTCCAACCCAGCCTCCTAGACTCTACTTTCCGGTCAAACACGCAAACAAGGAACCAAGCTTTATTTAATTTTACTACAATAAAGAAATTTTCACAAAATATAGTTTTCTAATTCCTTAATTTTTGAAACTTGAAAGTGTAGACTTTTGATATCTAAAATGTGTTCTAACGGAATTGGCAGTTTGAAGTATTTAAGGTATTTGACATGAGTTGCAGAGATATAGGGATTAGAAAAGCCGAGTTTGTGGAAAAAAAATCCTTAGAGACACAGTTCATTGTGTTCGTATAAATTATAAATGGAGCATTTACAAGTAGTTACTTGGAACTAAAATTAATAAATTTTAGCTACGGCGCTTAATACCTACAGCAGGTTCAAATTTGAACAACCAATTCAAAGTTAAAGACTAAGAAAGGCTATGAATCGGTGTTGTTCAAATTTGAGCCTGCAAAATCCCGTTCAAATCTATCAAATATTCGGTTCTTTGGATTTGATGAAAAGCAAAAAGCTAAACTGTAAATCGGTCGCAGTAATTTTGTTGTTTTAATCAAATGTTTCATTTTTTTTGGGTCATTTTAGAAATACAAATCTGATACAAATAAAATCCTATTGCGCATGGATTCATGACTCATTTCGAATTAGAATTTTTTTTCGAAAACTTTTTTCTAATCCTATATTTGCAAACACCTAAGTATTCCAATATAAAATAATCAAACCCAGAAAAGTACTTTTCATGTTAGTTTTGAATAAGCTTTGTTAAAGGTATTTGTTGGTTCAGAATCTAAACCTTCTTCAACTAATCAATATAAACAGTATCAAACCACCACACCATCAAGGGTAAAACATTAATCAAATTTTAAAATTGTTAAACAAAACGAGATTTATTATTTTTTTAGGGACTTGTGCCAAAACGATATACGTAATCTAAACCTTTGTCTGATCAAGGATGAATTAGATATCCGTAATCTAAACCTTTGTCTGATCAAGGATGAATTAGATATCCGTAATCTAAACCTCTGTCTGATCAAGGATGAATTAGATATCCGTAATCTTAACCTTTGTCTGATCATGGATGAATTAGATATCCGTAATCTAAACCTTTGTCTGATCATGGATGCATTAGATACCCTTATATTTCTAACTGAAACTTCATTATTTTTTATTTTGATTTCGCTTAAAAATGTGATTTGAGGATTTAGGAAGCAAGGAGAAAGAAGAAATTGCCAAAATTTAACGTTATCTTTCTCATTATTGATCATATAAAGGTTAAAAGGGTACCCTAGTGAATCGGGCCTGCTCTTGGCTTTGTAAACAGAAAAATGTATTTAATCTTAAAAACAAGACATTTATACAAACTAAACTTTTGCAGATCTTTTATAAAAGAGACTTCTCAAACATAACTTTCAAATATCTTTCAATTATTCAGTTTTAAAAATTATAAACATGGATTTATAATTTATACTTGATCAGACGAAGTAAAAAAGGATACCGTTGTGAATCGGTCATGGCCATCTTTAAATGATGGGTCACTTGAAATTACGCTTACAGTCCTTTAATCTATAGGAGCAGCATGAGTATTGGGATAGTCAAACAACTCTATCAACCAAACCTACTCAGAGACCTTGGAAACAATATGGACAGGTACTATTACCAACGACTCATTTCTTGCTTATTAGAAACAATGGAGGAATGTACAGAAATGAACACTTTACCAGTTAGAAAAACAACGGTAACCATTTATATTTGTTAGATTTTAAGGTTTCGGGCAGTGATAACAATTTGCATGTAAGAGTTGGGTTTATTTTAAAATTGTTGTATATTCAGATTGTTGAGGAATTACTAAATGATGAGCAAAGGAGAAACAAAGATTTTTACTCTGGACGGAACAAATTTGTGGGAGACCCACAATATATTTCTACAAGGTAAGAACCCTGTAAACAAACAAAAAAACTATTTTTGGTATTTAAAAGGAAACAGAGACAAAGTACCTTAATTTCTTAAAATTAAGATCAAAATAAGATCAATTTTACCGCTCAAAGATGTACACGAGGCCCAGAATATAAGTTTAAGCATACATTTCACACTAGTTCATAAGTTGCATGATCCAAACTAGTTCAAGGATTCCTGTCTAATCTATTCCGTACCAGCCCGTCTAATGTACCTAGTAACTGTTTGACCCAACCCGTGTTATGCAACAGAATTAGGCGGACTGTACTTTAGTGATAATTTCGGTTCGAATTTTTTACTCAAATGTCTAATCCCTATATCATTGCAACCTAATGGTATAAACTTTTAATATTTATATTACCAGATGTAACCGAATTGAGATTTTATTATATAGAATGCTTGCAACTTTGGGTTGCAAAGATTTAGAGTTTGTTGAAAAAATTGGTGTTTCTGGTATAAACCATTCAAGCAGATCGTTTCGAACACTCTGACCCTCAGGGAAAACTTTTAAAGCCACATTTTTGTGTCGCAACGCCCAATACTTGTTGTAATATGAAAAAACTATTTTCAGACCTCTTGTTGTGGGGCCCAGTATTCCGGGAAATTCAAATGTACCAGATCCAAATTTCGGAGGCTCCTCGGGACAGAAAAACACCGGAGGCGGGTTTGTTAGATTCGGAGGCGATCCCAACTCACACCCGGCTAAAAGGGTTAACAAGGTAGATAATAGCATCTTCCTATAAATATATATATATATATATATATATATATTTATGTATAGTATATATAAAGTTGTAATCTCTGTTGATATGTCTGTGGCTAAAATCGTCATTTATAAAAAGTGGCGTGTATTTAATTTAGAAGATGGGCGCGAAGCGCCCTCTAAGGCTAGTACTCAATAATTTGACAGAGAAAGAAACACATTTTTAGTTGCAAATAACCAACACATTAAAAATACTTCCGTGCAGTCGTCTCTGAAGACTCGTCTTTTGTGAGTAACCCTGTATTACAGATGTTAAACACAAAACCTAATGGTAATCTAAAAAAGATTTATAATCTTTTTCATTGATTATCGAGGTATCAGAAATAAATCTATCTCATCACGGGAAAGGCTCTCTAGATAAAAGTCTGTTTAGTCAAATTTTAAAAAAAAGTCCATAAAAAACATTAAAAAAATATAATTATAAGGACTTTTTTCTGAAAAAATGTCGATTTTCTGTTTTCAGATCATAACTTTTTTCCTGTGAAAAAATACAACTTAGACTTTCCCCCGAGACTTTAATGTATGTAATGGTACTGTTATTGAAAATAAATTTGAAAGCGATCATGAAATAAGATAATTTAACTTAAAATCTGAGAAAAATATTTCGCTCTACACGATTCTGTGACTTTCAGAGTGTCAGAAAACTATATTTCACTCCGCCTAATTCTGTTGCGCTGAGTACGGTAAAGACGAAAGTCCTTGTACCGTTCGGATCATGCAGCTTTTAAACTTGTGTGAGAAAATAGAACTAACTTCTAACAAAACTACTAATTATCAGCTGTATTTCAGCAAAAATTAGTGATGTTTTTTTGTATTTTTCACATTTCTGAAAAGAATAGCACAAATAAGAAGCATAAAGTAATACTACTAAGCTTAAGAGTAAAAAATTGATTATTATATCTTGTAAACACAGAAGAAAAAAACTTTTTTACTTAAATACATAATGTATATTACTATAATAGTAGTAAAATATACGCCAAACTAGATTTAGATGGTTTACATTTTAAACTAAAAGTTTACACCATAGGAAAATATAAAACGACTGTAACATTGTTTAACAAGATCAAGCAAAAATTTCATGAAAAATGTTACTCTACATAAAAAGACCCCGTCATAAGGACATAATTGATTGTCACCAGTGCTTAGGATCCAGATTCGTTGGATCCACATATTTTGATCTCCTGGATCTGGATTCGTAACATTTTTGCTATCAAAACACAAATCTCAATTGCTAAATAATAAGAGATTATTAAAAACTTAATGATCTCTAAGAATTGTAATTTTTTTTAAATTTAATTAAAAAGTAAATCTTGAAGAAATGTCCAGAACCTGGCCCTTAAAACTAAATAGATCCTAAGCTGTTACCCTAACATAATCAAATTCAATAAAAAAAATTCAATAATAAAAAGAAAATACACAAGAAGATATAAAAAGTAAATATGGGGATTTTAAAAATGTTAATAAATATGTTTTCCAATATTTTCTCATAATAAATAAACAAATAACTGTCAAGCATCAAATAATTCATACTAAAAATGTCTCAAAACAAATGTGTTTATAAAAGAAGACGAAATCTTCAATGTACGATTTCGGGTCAGACTCACTATCTTATACTCTAATCTTATACTAATCTTATACTCGAATTTTTCTATTCACATATCTTTGCGGTCCGATTGTAGTTGGACCAATTCAGGGATTAGAGATTAGGGATAAGAGTTTGTAGCAAGTAATCAGTTTCTTTGACGCGTTGTAAAATTGAGCGTACTGCATTGTTTTTATGATTTTGTGAATTCTAAGGCAAAAAATCCTTTAAATGTTTGTTAACTGTTATGAAATAGTGCAGTAGCCCTTGCTATCAGGAATAGCAACAGGATGATTCACCTAAACAAAATCGTTTTTAAAATATTATTAAAATATCACAGGTATCTATATATATATATAAATTAATCAATTTATATTTATTTATATAAATTGATTTGCTATCCAAGATATGGTTGGACTGATGAACTTCCCCCACAACTACAAAAAAACTATCTGGACTTGGGTAAGAGATACCAACGTTTAAATCCAATTAAACACATTTTAATTTTTATCTTACATTTCGGTTAAAGAAAATTAAGGTCTTTAATTGACGAATATTACATTTCTTTAAAAATTGTTAAAGGGTCATATCAGATTCACAACGTTACCCTTGAAACCCTTACCCAAGCATGGTTGACGAAGATATCCTTATTCTAATTGCTGAAAATTGTGTTCTGGAAGAAGGTCACCGTGTGTAAATCGGACATGCCACTTTAGAACTGGAGGATTAAATGGTTTTATGTTTGCAGCCCTTTCAAAGGAAGAAACATGATTTCCAGCATGCTTAGAATCTATTTTATTGTGATGTGGATCCCGGATCCGCCCTGAAAAAATCAAATGGATCCGGAGTCTGGATCCAATAGGTTATGGAGGCACATTTCTTTAAGATTTACTGATCTTTGTTACCAAGGAAGAGGTTTCAAATTATTCTTTCTTTTTTCGCTTGTTTTTATGCTAAACTTGATAAATCGCTCAGAGATATGTGGAAAATTTAAAAAATCTTTCTTTTTTTCAACGGTTCGGATTTAAGTTTTGGGGTTTAAGCAAAAATGTTACGGATTCAACGGATCCGGATCCTAACTATTATATTTCAGGGTTGCCTGCTGAAACTGATGTTCGTAATTGGACCTCGTTAGACCTGGCTAAACCTGTTTGGGAAGAGGAACCGAGGCCAGACAGCTTCGAAGAAGGGTTTGTCGAACAGGTAATTATTTACGGATAAATCGGCTGCACTGAAAACCTGACTCCCGCTCTCACGTTACTCCTTTTAAACTACGACTAGAAACAAGCGCGTTGCAAATATAAAATGTATATGTCTAGGGCTACAAAAATAATAAGAGATAAATCCAAAGACCAAGGGCGTTGCGACACTTAAAATTTGAGGCTGTTCTAAAATTTGATGAAATATTTTCGGGTTTTTTCAATATATTCAAGGTTTTCTGTATTTCAGAGGGCTCCACAAAAGGCTTGTCTTATGCAGTTTAAAATTGTATTTTCCATCCTTGTGCTTTTTATAAAATACTAGCTGAAGGGCCGTGGAAAAAAATATTTGAAAAAAAAATTAAATTTTAAAAACAACAATTTTTAGCCTATAACACCTCACGGCCACCCATGAGTGTCCACAAAAATTTCAGCCCAATTGGTCCAGCCGTTTGGCCGGCTATACGCAACATATATATATATACGAATGTCTTGTTTTATTATATAGATTTAAAATGTTGACAGAATATGTTAAGTAAAATCAACCGTTCGTTAACGGACCGTGGACGTGATGTTTATGTTTAGAATACAGTGATAACTATGGACAACTCTGAAATAGGAGACGACTGTATAACAATACTTAATGATGTTGGTACAATGCAAATAGTTTTACTAGGCATTTCTGAAGTTGTAGTGTACACCTATAGTTCTGCAACTCTATTTACTGACAAAAAGTACCGGTTAACGTTTTTTCTAACTTTTTTCGTCAAATTTAATAAAAGTTAACTCTTAGAAAATACAATTTTGAATCGATAAGCATCTTCAGATTATTGTATAAATATTTAAAAACCAAGAAAAACATTAAATAGTAACGGGCGAAGGAAAATGTTTACATATAAATAACAGAAATTTCGTTAAGTTTTAATAATTGCACAAGTATTGATTCAAGGTTAAGTTTGAAGATCTCAGTATTGAAGAGAAAGAAACTTTTGGGACATGGGAGCAGTCCCTTGATCTGGTTCCTGCACTTACAAGGTAAAGTGGTCGACGTTTTTAACAATATAAAGATGACGACTTTTTAAAATAATAATGTTTTTATCTCTGACAAATGTTTTCATGTTGCAAGTTTACATATTAACAAATTGAAGCTAGTAGTCAACATCTTCTCTTTGTTTACTTGTTTACGTGTCTCTGTTGTTTAAAAGCTTTGTAGAAATCAAAATTTTAATCAAAATTCGTCTTCATTGTATTGGTAGATACGACGACGACTCCATACAAATCATACTACAAGTCTATATCCTATACCCTAGCTTTAAAACCCAGCTTCGCCTGAAAGCTTATATATGTGTCTACACAAAAGTCAACCTACTCAACTCAGTTATACTCAACTAAATCTTGGTTCGACTTCAAAACTATTTTGTGGCTCCACCGCCTGAAGACATTTTGGGCTTCAAGTTCCAGTGATGACAATCAAAATTCACAAACCGCATATAGTATTCTCAGAAGCATACACAGGGGGGGGGATATTGGGGTACAGCCCTCCTGGCTGGATCAGTAAAGTCTATGGTTTCCATTAGGTTTTAAGCCCCCCCCCNCCCCCCCCAAGGGATACTTAATCCCCACCCGGAACAAATTTAAGCCCCTTTTTAAAAATTCCTGAGGCCGCCCCTGAATATTGTTTTCATTGCAGATCCACAGACCCACATGTAAAGCAATGGACACTGTTAGCACAAAGCCAACTTTCTCCAAACCAGGAGAATAAAACTGATTCTTCTGGGAACAGGTAGCTAGTGGTTGCTTTCTCCAAACCAGGAGAATAAAACTGATTCTTCTGGAAACAGGTAGCTAGTGGTTGCTTTCTCCAAACCAGGAGAATAAAACTGATTCTTCTGGGAACAGGTAGCTGCTGGTTGCTTTCTCCAAACCAGACGAATAAAACTGATTCTTCTGGAAACAGGTAGCTAGTGGTTGCTTTCTCCAAACCAGGAGAATAAAACTGATTCTTCTGGAAACAGGTAGCTGCTGGTTGCTTTCTCCAAACCAGAAGAATAAAACTGATTCTTCTGGAAACAGGTAGCTAGTGGTTGCTTTCTCCAAACCAGGAGAATAAAACTGATTCTTCTGGAAACAGGTAGCTAGTGGTTGCTAATAATTTTTAAAAACGACCCTTAAAAACTTTTGATTAACGAAATACTAAACGACGATGTTCGTTTTACTGAAAAAAACAACCGTTTATAAATAAAAAAAAACTAAGTAAATGAGTTTTATAAGATTTTTTTTTCATATTTTTTTCATAGTTTATAGTTACACATTGTTTTTATACAGAGTAAATTGACCTTATTGTTTTCTGATTAATTTAGTTACAAGTATAGTTTATAATAAAGGGTCGCCGTCAACGATCTTTAACGAAGGGCACTTGTTAACGAAACCTTCGTCAACGGCACGATGAAATAAAAAAGAAAAAATTACTATTCAGTTTTGAAATTAAAAAAAACGATCGTTTCGTTTTTCAGAAAAGTAAAAACGATCCATTCCTAGAAAAAGAATGGAGATTTTAAAATCATATTTTTCAGAGTTGAATCTGCTGGTGTGGGGTTAGAAGTAGATAGTCAAAAGAAGACAAATTCTTAATATTTTTACACAATTATGTTATGTTATGTTACGTTATTTAGTTACAATTATAGAATAGATTATTTCATTAGAATTTTGTTTTTAGAAATCGAGTATTTACCCCAAATAGTACTTAAGCACTTTGAAAATAAATATTGTTTGCTTTCTATAAAGAAATTGAGCCTTGCCTCAAATTCTATTTTCCCCCTTCTAACCCCTATATCTTTGTAACCCAATGGCGTAGACCCTGTACACTTCAAACTATGAACTCTGTTAGAATAATTAATCTGAGATTTAAATGGCAACGGTTTACATCATCAGTTACCAAAGATATATAGATTGAAAAATTTTAGTTTGTGGCTAAAACCCCATTCATTTCTATAGCTTTACAACCCAATGTCACAGACCTTAGATATTTAAAAATATGTATGAATTCTGTTAGATCAAATCATCTATTAGTTCAAAATATAAAAGGTTTCACCCCATCTGCAGGTTGCAAAGATATGGGAATTGGAATTTTTAGTTAGTGGCTCAATTTCTTTAGGAAAATAATATATTAAATTAAAGTTTTTTTTATGGTTGTATAGACCGCCAGGTTATTACGATTTAGATATTTATATATATATATATTTATGTATAGTATATATAAAGTTGTAATCTCTGTTGATATGTCTGTGGCTAAAATCGTCATTTATAAAAAGTGGCGTGTAAACTCGAACAAAAAAGTAAAGATTTGATTTTAGGATGATTTTTTGGATGACATTCAAAACAACAGGATATCTCTACAACCTCCTCCTGATATGCTCACATCATACTCAGACAGGTTTAGTTTTTTTCATCGTTTTTCTTCCTACTTAATCGATTTTTTTTAAATATAAGTGATTTTGTATCGTTTTTTGGAAGCAATCCAACTTTTGCTACCAAATAAGCGATTTTTTGGTCAAAGTTCTTTTTAAAAAAGAAAGGTTTTGAAAAGCAAAGAAATATTACACTAAAGAATTTACTGAAGTAAACGTTGCCTGTGGTAAAAACGAACGTTAACGATTCAGAAAAATACATTGAAAGAAAAACACGTTGTCTGTTTGTTAGCTCCCATCAAACAGCCAAACCAGTCAAGTCTAGTTTTCATAATTTTGAAAGTTTTCTTATAAAAGCCATTTTTAAACGTTATATTGTTTTCAATGATTGCAAAAAGAAAAGGTTTGTTTTTAAAATGAATTAAATAAGAAATAGGAGACTTACAGAGTGCTTGAACCGCCTCACGACGAATTAAAGTTTATTTCACCTAAGTTTGATTTCTTAAATTGCTTTTAGTTTTAACTCCTCTTAATAAAAAGCTATTGAGAAGACAAAAATTTTTTAAACTAACTTGTACCCAGATAAAGGAATCGAGTTTTGCCACAAAATTTCAGAAAAAATTATCAAAAACAGAAAAATATATAACAAAAAATCCGGAAAAATTGTTAGTGGAAATCTGCAGTAAATGTTATCAAATTATACAACCTTAGAACTTTTATGACTTTAAAATTGCAAATAATTGGCTTAAATCTTTTGTAACTTATATCTCATTAAATTTTGATGAATTTTAATGAAAATTTGGAGAAAAAATAGGATAAACATTTTTCCAACAATCTAAAAAAAAATTTTCCCTAAAAAATGGTTTCGCGAATTTTTTAAAACTTTTAAAAAATATTTTGGAATTTTTATCACATTTTATTGTTTGTATGCCTAAAATCTGAACAAAACAAAGATTTTGAAAATTTTGTCCAAAACATCGATAATCCAGTATTTCATATATACTGTGAAATTGAGTCTTCTGATCCAGAAACAAAAACATTGTTGCCAATTTGTGTTAGACTTGGAAGCAAAAAAATTTAGGGCTGTGCACTGCTGCTACTTAGCATGTAGATTATGTAGGGGGAGTGGTGCTAACCCTCTTTTGACTTTATACAGATAGATTTTTATTAAAAAGTATTTCACGTGTACTATATGGGGAGGGGGGATATTTAAAATGTCTAGCTCGGAAATTTATTAAGTACATAAGAAAAAAGTGGAATTAAAAAATTACAATAACAAAATTGTTTTTCGCTGAAAATAAGCGATTTTTTAGGTGAATTTAAGCGACTTTTTTGTTAAATATAAACAATTATTTTTGCTGAAAATAAGCGAGTTTTTTGTTGAATACAAGAGATTTTTTGGTTGAATGAAAACGATGTTTTAGTGAAAATAAGCGATTTTTGTCGCCTAATCGGGTGCCATCCAACTTTTTCACCCGATTTAGGCGATTTTTTAATCATGATTTTATTATTTTAGTTTTGTAAAGAAATGTGTAGGACACATATAGTGAGCCAGGGATATTGGTTAACCACAATGGTTGAGACTATTACGACGACCTTAAACATTAGTTTTCTGTCTAGCATACAGTTTTGAAATAACATCTATATATAAATTTGGCTTGTCTGTTTGTTTGTATCCAATAAACGTCAAAACGGCTGAACCGATCGGGCCCAAATTTTTTGTGGGACATCTAGGGACCCCAGGGAAGGTTTATGAATGATCAAAATTTCAAATATTTGTCTCCATCAAAATTCGATCTTCATTAAATTTTTGAAAATTTTGAAAATCCACGAAATTTTTTGTGAAAATCCGCGAATTATTTTTGTTTTGTTTTACGATGTACACAAAGAGAACATGTTCACAATTAATTTAGAAGATGGGCGCGAAGCGCCCTCTAAGGCTAGTACTCAATAATTTGACAGAGAAAGAAACACATTTTTAGTTGCAAATAACCAACACAATAAAAATACTTCCGTGCAGTCGTCTCTGAAGACTCGTCTTTTGTGAGTAACCCTGTATTACAGATGTTAAACACAAAACCTAATGGTAATCTAAAAAAGATTTATAATCTTTTTCATTGATTATCGAGGTATCAGAAATAAATCTATCTCATCACGGGAAAGGCTCTCTAGATAAAAGTCTGTTTAGTCAAATTTTAAAAAAAAGTCCATAAAAAACATTAAAAAAATATAATTATAAGGACTTTTTTCTGAAAAAATGTCGATTTTCTGTTTTCAGATCATAACTTTTTTCCTGTGAAAAAATACAACTTAGACTTTCCCCCGAGACTTTAATGTATGTAATGGTACTGTTATTGAAAATAAATTTGAAAGCGATCATGAAATAAGATAATTTAACTTAAAATCTGAGAAAAATATTTCGCTCTACACGATTCTGTGACTTTCAGAGTGTCAGAAAACTATATTTCACTCCGCCTAATTCTGTTGCGCTGAGTACGGTAAAGACGAAAGTCCTTGTACCGTTCGGATCATGCAGCTTTTAAACTTGTGTGAGAAAATAGAACTAACTTCTAACAAAACTACTAATTATCAGCTGTATTTCAGCAAAAATTAGTGATGTTTTTTTGTATTTTTCACATTTCTGAAAAGAATAGCACAAATAAGAAGCATAAAGTAATACTACTAAGCTTAAGAGTAAAAAATTGATTATTATATCTTGTAAACACAGAAGAAAAAAACTTTTTTACTTAAATACATAATGTATATTACTATAATAGTAGTAAAATATACGCCAAACTAGATTTAGATGGTTTACATTTTAAACTAAAAGTTTACACCATAGGAAAATATAAAACGACTGTAACATTGTTTAACAAGATCAAGCAAAAATTTCATGAAAAATGTTACTCTACATAAAAAGACCCCGTCATAAGGACATAATTGATTGTCACCAGTGCTTAGGATCCAGATTCGTTGGATCCACATATTTTGATCTCCTGGATCTGGATTCGTAACATTTTTGCTATCAAAACACAAATCTCAATTGCTAAATAATAAGAGATTATTAAAAACTTAATGATCTCTAAGAATTGTAATTTTTTTTAAATTTAATTAAAAAGTAAATCTTGAAGAAATGTCCAGAACCTGGCCCTTAAAACTAAATAGATCCTAAGCTGTTACCCTAACATAATCAAATTCAATAAAAAAAATTCAATAATAAAAAGAAAATACACAAGAAGATATAAAAAGTAAATATGGGGATTTTAAAAATGTTAATAAATATGTTTTCCAATATTTTCTCATAATAAATAAACAAATAACTGTCAAGCATCAAATAATTCATACTAAAAATGTCTCAAAACAAATGTGTTTATAAAAGAAGACGAAATCTTCAATGTACGATTTCGGGTCAGACTCACTATCTTATACTCTAATCTTATACTAATCTTATACTCGAATTTTTCTATTCACATATCTTTGCGGTCCGATTGTAGTTGGACCAATTCAGGGATTAGAGATTAGGGATAAGAGTTTGTAGCAAGTAATCAGTTTCTTTGACGCGTTGTAAAATTGAGCGTACTGCATTGTTTTTATGATTTTGTGAATTCTAAGGCAAAAAATCCTTTAAATGTTTGTTAACTGTTATGAAATAGTGCAGTAGCCCTTGCTATCAGGAATAGCAACAGGATGATTCACCTAAACAAAATCGTTTTTAAAATATTATTAAAATATCACAGGTATCTATATATATATATAAAGTTATAATCTTTGTTTGTTTGTCCGATCATAACTCAGGATCCCCTGGACCGATTTGCCTCAAATCTTGATTGGGGAACTCGGGAGACCCACAGAAATGTTCTTAGATTGGTTTTGAGATTCTAAGCTAAGTAGGGAAAGCTAGCTAAAATCCTAATTTATGACAAGGAGTGGGTAAACGGTGCAACTAAATATTACTCCCCTGGGCCACACTGGGTGCTTAATAGATAATAAATAGAAATACTTAAAGGGACTGTGGGCGTAATTTTAAGTGGCCCACCTTATTAAGAGTGGTATTTCCGATTCACACCATACCATAGTTTTGCTAATTTGAAATTCTGGTAATTTCCTTAATTTTCGCTTACACATTAAACAATTGAAGATAATCATTGTTCATAAGAGAAAAACAAGATTTCTACATAATATAGTTAAGAAGACTAGAAGTTTGAAGGGTAGCACTGTAAATCGGACTTGCCACTCTGTAATTAGAAGTTCACTTTAACTGTCAACTTTCCAATCATATACGTTTAATGGAAAACTCTTTAACAGAAATTTAGTAACATGATTACTCACAGAAGATTAGGCTTAAAAAGACGTCTGTACGATTATTACTTACTTTATTAATTCTAGGATTCATCAAGAGATAAAATTGTTCTTTAATAAATCTTTTTTTAGAATTTAGATAGTGGTGTATAAAAAGTCCCATTTTTTGTGGGTTAAACTGTATTAAAACTTTTTTCCTTTTTCTTTCTTATGAAATTTCTATTATCTACAAAATTCATTCACGATAAAATTTCATATATCAGGGCTTTCATGACAGTCTCCGGCCTTTCAGTCCTCGGCATATTTAAGATATATTTTCTTTACTTTGTAAATTCGAATTGTTGAAATATTTTCCATTGAGATTTATAATAAAGGGACTGTAAGTGTAATTTCAATTGACCCTCCATGGTAAGGATGGAAATGTCCGATTTACAACGGTACCCTTAAAAAAGCTTTGCCTGATCCAGCATGAATTAGATATCAATGTTTTTGTTTCTCTGCGTAAGTGACTTGCACATTTCTTGCGTATAAGAAGCAAGGGAGAAACTCACAAAAATGAAGATTTACCGAGTCAAAAATATCTTATACATTTTTGAGTATGGTTTTAGAGTACCGTTGTAAATCGGGCATTGGAGGGTCAATTGAAGTAACGCTTACATTCTCTTTGATACAAAATTAATCTGTAAAAAAGCCCAGAAAATCTAAATCTCTCTTTTAAACCAAGATCCATCGTTGATTAGAATGGTGATGAAAAATTAAAAATAAAATTTTTTCTTGCCTGTGTTTCATTTTGTTTTTTAACAAGATGTTCAACATTGGTTGGTCGGGTTGAGGGAGTTAAAGGTACAATTCGTCCACTCAGATAGGAGCTCATCGCGTCCTAAATGCATAATGCGGCTGAATTTTTTAAAATCATAATTTCAATGCACTAAATTTATCATATAAAACGTAATAATTGCCGGAAGACTCAAATGTGGCACGGAAGACCGAACGGTCAAGGCTTAAGGCTGCCGGAAGACAAAAAAGCTGATCTGTGACATGGAAGGGGAAAATGGTGTGGCTTATGGCCGCCATCCTTCCCCGCTCTCGTAACAAATAAAATGAGAAATGAGTTCTGTCTTTGTTCTTCATTTAATTGAAACCTTTTAATTGGCGCACAAATTTTTCAATTTTTACCTGGTTTTATTGATACAGGGTTACCTACAAAGGATGAGACTATGAAGACAACTTGAAACTCTTCAAATTTGTCGTTACAAAGTTTAAAGTATGTCTGCTGCCTTGATTGTGGTTTTTATTTGGCAAAAAAAAATAAGTTTATAGTTACAGGGAATCATATATGAGGAAACACTCAGAAGTCTCATCCTTTGTGGGTAACCCTGTAGGCTGTATATCGCAAAAATGCCTAAATTCATTGAATAGCGAGAAGTGATTGAAACACGTTGAGACGAAGGAGGGAACCCCCGGACGCCATGAGCCTCCGCTATGCAGACACGAGCCTCCCAAACTTGTTAGGCAGACCGAGTCTCCACTATTTAGACCAGGCCTTCGCTATGCAGACCGTGCCGTCGCTATGCAGTAAACGTGCCTCCACCATACAGCACAGCTATTTTTAAATCTTGGTTTTTATGTGTAATGAAATTTTTTTTAAACTTTGTAGCATAAGAATTTTACTAAAGATAAGAGTTATTTATTGATTGTCATGTTTAGAAACATATATACAGTTATACTAAAACTTAAAAAATTTCTTATACAGAAAGGAAGATATTTGGAGAAATATTTCTGAAGTAAATTTAGTTTGTTGTGTTGTAATCTTTTATTTAAAAATACTTTTTTTTATAAATATTAAAAAAAAATTATTCACATTTTCTAGATTTACTTTGAACTACAAAAATGGTATCGCTTAAATCAAAGTTCGTAAAAAATTAAATGAAATTTAATTAAATTTTTTTCTATGAATATTTTTTCGGGGGGTAAAAATGTTTAGTGTTTTATATATACCACTTAATTAGTCATAATTAGGCACTATGTAGGATAATGAGGTATGACAACCTCTCATGTCACTATGTAGAAAAATTAAAAAAATCTTTTATTTAAACTTAAAACACAAGTTTAAAAAAACCTCCTGTATTACACAGGCACGTTTTGATGTATTGCGCATGCTCATTACTGCATAGCGGAGACTCAATCTGCCCAGCAAATCTGGGAGGCTCGTGTCTGCATAGCGGAGGCTAATGGCGTCTGGGGGTTCCCTACCTCATGAGACCTTAACTCTTAATACCACATACTTTGTACATTGTTTGTTAAAAGGATTGTAGCTGTGCATTGTTTGTTAAAAGGATTGTAGCTGTGCATTGTTTGTTAAAAGGATTGTAGCTGTGCATTGTTTGTTAAAAGGATTGTAGGTGTGCATTAAAATGATATTTTCATAAAATAAAGTTGTTTTGCTTGTTCTACGCATTAACAGAGCGTCCCATGTCATATCAAATTATCACCAAGCTTTAAAGCCAAAATACGCACATATTACTCGTAAAAACTAGTATTTTCTGCTTGCAAATTTTTTTATCTAGCCTTTTACAATTTTTTAAAATGATTAAATCTTTTTAAATCTCCTGATTTGTACCAAAAATCGCAATTATAATCTAATATGATGTGGGACACCCTGTACCTGCCCTTAAGATTAAAATCATCTAAGTTGAATATTCATTATTCATCCAAAAATCTTTTTTGTTTGACATGAAACACATTAATCATGAAGTAAGTTGAAAATCTCAATAAAAATATAATTTTTTAACACAATTAAACGGACTGTGAGCGTAATTTCAAGTACCCTCCATGCAATGATGGAATTATCCAATTTCACAATTTGGTTTTCAGGGTTCAAAAGTTTTAAATACTGATATTTCGGCCTTTATATTTTCCTGCAGTAGAAATGCGCAGGACACTATTGTAGAGAAATCACAATTAAAAATAACATTAATATATAATTCATTCTTTATTACACAGAGCTTTAAGGGTACCGTTGTGAACCATTTTAGAACGGAGGGTCACTTGAAATTCGTTTAAATGAATTTAAATAGATCAATCAATCATTAATTATTGTGTTCAAATAAGATCAAAAAATACCTCCTCGTCCTTAATAGGTTTTGGTTCATCGTAGATAGAAGGAGAGCGGAATATAGTTTTAGATTTGGCCTCTTCTCTCTTCAGCTTAGTGGTGCGGTTCAAACTCAAGGATCTTAAAGAGTTTCTTGGCTGCTTTTTAAACGAAGTTTTAGCTTTATTTCTCAATTCAACTTCCGGGGATTTTTCCTTTTCCGGTTCTAAGACGACAGGAAAGGCAACTTTCTTTACCGGAGATCTTCGCGGAGCAGCGGTTCTTGTCGGTGTCCTTCCCGGACTTGCGGTTTTCATGGATTCCACGGTTCTAACGGGAGTAGACGTAAACATATCCTTTGCCTTCCTTGGTGGAGTTCGTCTGGTCGCCGGAGACGGTCCTAGCTTCGGGGTTCTTGATGAAGAAACGCTTGGTGATTCAATGATTTTATTCATTTTAGTCGGACTTTCAAGTCGGTAATCTGGTTTCCTCTTGCGGGGAGTCAACATAAGAAGAGGACTTCGTGTGCTTGTACTTGTTTTTAACTCCTCCCTCTTGGACTCTTCCGTCTTTCTCATGAGCATTATCTTGCTCAAACTCTCTCTTCGAAGTTTCAAAATGTCCGGTTTTCTCATCGGTTCAAACTTTGAGCTCTCTCTCTTTAAGGTAGCGCTGTTCTTCTTCAACTGCTTCACCGATTTCCTGATGTCTTCCACCCAGTGTGTGTCCTCGGCATTAGTTGTGTAGAGCACCAGGCTCTCTTTCTGGCATTGAACTGTAAACACTCCTTTTCCTACAACATGCTCTACTACTGTATGTTTCAGAGGGAGTACACAGCATACCTCCAGAGCATCATGCTTAGGGAGTTCTAGGACTCCTCCAGCCAGGGGGTTTCCTCGAAACTTGCAGTACATTAACATGTCAGAAAAGAGGACAAAGTAGCGAGGCTGGGCGTGGCCTCCGCTTTTGCTGACCTTCATGAGGTTACCGTGGCGAATAAGTTTTCTTCCTGGTTTTATTATTTTCGGTAATCCACCTGAACATGTTGTTTTGAGGGAGGTTTATTTACGTTTTACTGATTTAAGTAATTTGAAAAATTTATATTTTCTAAAACAAAATAGGATTCGAGATGTAAATTTGTACACATGAACAAATACTATTCCTTTAGAAGCCACCTAAAGGATACATTTTTTACCGAAATTGCGGGTTTAGTACAAATATTCTATGTCTTATTTCTGAAATTAGTGTTTGAAGACGGGTTTTTGGCGGCCTTTGAATTTCAACAGTAAAATGTTCGTAACTAATCATATTTTTTTCCCCCTAATTTTTATGGAATTTTTAAAGTTAAAATTTTAGGTGAAGAAAATATCAATTTTTTAAATTAAGAATTACAAGAGGCGTGAAGCGTCATTAATTTTTCACTGACCTTGTAGACTCTTCTGTATACTGATCATGAGCTGATTATTCTCATGCTCCTTGATCTGATCGTTAATGTACCAGGCGATCGCGTCGATCTGTGTCCTCGCCTCCTCAAGGTTGTTCCGGTCAGGATGGAAGCGCGGCGTGTTCTTGATGACGTCATCAAGAAGAAGTTTGTAGCGTGGAATCCGCTGAACCGGGGTGATGAGGAGGGAGTTTTTGCGAATCTGACATTCCATTCTTTAAATGAAGGACACTTGAAAATATGTCTATTCTCTTTCAGGGGTGCGTATTTTTGAGAATAATTTTAGAAGATCTAAAAAAAACTTTTTAAAAAATGTCTGTGCTCCACTCCGCGCAAACATGTCTCTTCTGGGGGGGGGTATTATTTTTCATGAAAATATACACCCCTGTCTCTTTAATTAAGTATAAATATTGTATTTAGTCTCACCGTATTCCCAAAATATCTCCAAAAACTGCAGAAAACACATTCTGTGGTAGAAAAGCTGATTCCTACAGCAGGGTTAACAATTTACAATCTGCACTTATAATACAGTTAGAACCAGAAACCAACTATTTAGGAATGATTAACAGAATTTGTTCAGTGCCTTGGATCCGAATTCACAAAAATATAAGGATGCAAAAAATTTGTCCTCTTCTTGTGACAAATTATGTATAAAAGCAAAACATTTAAATATATTTTTTAATGTAACAATGAAAAAATAACATATTTTATCAAGGACTCAAAATAGAGGCAGTTGCCTAAAGGAGTTACGCGTGCTTGCCACGTTGAATTATAAGAAAGAGAGATATTAGTATACATTTTAGGGTTAGGTTAGGTTAAGACACTTTCTGGGCTGATTGTATTTTATTGCCCCATGCCTGAATCGGGGTCATAAAGTACTCCTCGACCATCTCCAGGTGTCGAAGGTATGACTTCTCACTGTTAATAATCTCCTCTATTGCCTAAATATGTAGTTTTAACTCTTTCTCATCTTTTCTCTCTCTCTATTTTATGCTTTATTTCTTACTTATTAATTCTTTTTTTGTTTAGATTACAGCTCACCTTGATAAATATTTATCTTTGAGACACATGATTTGGTATTAAACATTATTTTCTTTTCACTTTTCATCAGTTAATTCTCCCTTTTAATATCTTTACCCTGCTTTACTTTTCAGTAGATAAATACAAAACATCAGAAGTATTTTTATGAACTAAACTTGTTTTCGAAAACTTCTGAAACATCGTAAAATCTATACAAAAAATAGAAAAAACTTTTAATGGAAACATAAGAACCCACAATTGGATCGCTCCCCACCCCCTTGACCATGGGGGGGGGGGGGTTACCTTCTTCCTGAGAATCTTCATCTCCGAGTCCTCCTCCTGCTTAGAGTTCTCCTGAAGGGAAACTAGAACACGCCTCCTTGTCCGAGATGTTAACAGGTTTTGTCTACAAAATTCCACAAAAAAGGGTCGCAAAAATTCAACTTTATAGTTCTTATTGATTGTTATTATTATTGTTCATCTTATTTCTATTATTAGAATCAGAATTATTAAGTAATTTCCGAGTATCAGAATGTTTTTGGACGCCCCCCTCCCTTCTATAACTATTGTATATGCTTCTTAAATACACCACATAGACATAGAAACTGTTTTATCCCAACCCAACCTTATAATAACGCTAAACAAATATTAATCGCTCTCTAGAAAATTACCCTTAGGCGAAAAACTCAAAATAACCTACCCTGGTTAGGCGGGTCCAAACTAGAAAGAAAATAGTGATTGTTTATTTTGTCCAAAAATCGTTCACTAGGACAGACCTTTTAAATAAAACAATTGAAAATCAAACTGATAATTTCCACATAGATCCACTACTAAATACTATTTTAGTTGATAAATATTGGTCGTACAAATTGATAGAATTACCAAAGCATCTAAGTTTCTATTGCTTCTCAAAGTTATCCTTGAAAAAATTGCCCCGCCCTCAATTTCGAATTATGTTTAGAAATTAAATTTTTAAATGCCGCGGCGAAAACCGCGTAGAATTAAAAAAGGTGAAAATCGTCTTTGATCATGTTGGTAGTGTCATATCAATTGGACTAATGATCAATGGGACTAACGTTCATTTGGAATAGCGTTTAAGATTTGCACAAATGTTTCTTCAGTGGACCTAATTTGTCAAATTTTTATAAACTCTATCAAGTTTTAAGCACTTTTTACACAAAAAATTATATGATGTATAATCTTAATATTTGAGGGTGAGGTTAGTTTACGATGGTTTCTTAATTATTTCATTTGAAAATAATCTAGCTTCTAGCTTCAAATGTCCAAATGAAGTAGGTAGGAAACCCATTAGGTCCGTTTGAAACAGTGTTTTAGAAGCTGAGGCGATTAGTTGATTAGAAAACAGTTTTGAGTTAAATAATCCATATATACGCGGCAAACGTACATCTTTATTCCTTCAGACCTTCCATAGAAAATTTAAATTCCTAAAAACAGTGAAAAGTGTGAAAGGGTAAATGGCTTTTATAAATAACTGCTTTAAAACGGTTTTTAAAAAAATATATATTTCAGACCTTTTTAAGATGTAGGAGAAAAATCTGTAATTGAGGATGAAGATCGTTTTTCTCGGGACAGCGTCCTGTTTCCCAACCCCAAGCAGGTTTGTACAAACTATGAAATTGTAAATCTAATTTTGAAAGAAAATGTTAATCCAGCCCCCCTCTCCCTCCCCTCTCACACACATTGTTGTTAAACAGATAAGCATGATTATTCATTTTATCTATGAACTTCGGCCCTATAGGGAAACGGGTGATTTCCTTATATACGATTTTTGGTCCCCCCCCCCTCCTATCAATTTTGTACATGGTGCCCAGTGGGCTGTATTGGGTTGTATTTTTTTGTTTTATTGGGGTTTTTTGGGGTTTTTCAATTTGAAAGTATTTAAAACCTACTAAAATTCATAGTTCACATTGTTTCAAAGTAATACGACTATTTAAGCAATAAGTGAACTTTATAGTTATGAAAAATGATAATATTGTTGTGATAATAGGCTATAACCATTTATAAATGCTCTTTAAATACAATAATATCATCTCCCTTCATCATAGGGGCCTTTATAGGGGAATACAACAATTTTTTTGAATTATGAATTTCAGACTACTTCTATTTTCTCAATTGGATACATATTTCTGAATGGGTGTGGGGCTACTCAATCGGTAGATTATTAAAGAAGGAGACCATGGTTAAATACCGAAAAACTTCAGATCACTCACACATAAAAATGTTAAAGGGATTTTTAATATAATATATCCTTATTCTATAGCAACCTATTTAAAACTTCAAGAGAAAAGAATAAATGTGTCAGTTTTAGTGCTGTAAAAAAGCCCACTCACAGGTGTTTTTTTTAAATTGGGTTTTATTGTTTGTTTTTTTGTTTTTTTTTATCTGGGTTTTTTCATGCCAATCCGGCTCATACCCCCCTCCCCCTGAGTTTGCTTCTGCATGTTTGCAGGTCTATGATTTTTAAGGTTTTTTTCCCAAGATCTTCACAAATCAATTCCCCCCTCCCCCCACAGATGTGAATTAGCTTAAAATTGTATCAAATGTTTCAAGATTTAAGCAAGCGCTGAATTTAAACCAGGTTTTGGCGGATTTAAACCGCGGCTCAAATTCTTTAAATTCCATCTCATGAGCAAGTTTTATCTCAACATCCAAATAGAATATAGAAGTCGGTGAATTTTAAGGAACTGTAAGCGTAATTTCAAGTGATCCCCCATGCACAGATGGCAATGGTTTAGAAAATGCAGAGGAAATGCTTCTTCGCTGTATAGAAAATATAGAGTAATGCTACATTATAGTATAGAAAATGTAGAGTAAATGCTTCATTGTAGTATAGAAAATACAGAGTAATGCTACCAGAACGGTACCATTGAAAACGTAATCTATTAATAAATGTAAAAGATCGATTTTCTGACTTGAAAAGTGAATTTCTCTGTAGTTTCTTATCAACTAGAAATGCGTAAGTCTTTTTTTGCAGAGAATAAATAAATTGAAATAAACAATGTAAACAAAAAAAGCATGGATATCTTGCAAGGATACCGTTGTAAATCGCTATCTTTACATGAAGGGTCATTTGAAATTACGCTTAAAGTTCCTTAATGAATTTTTATTTTATGAAAAATGTATAATTTTCCGATAGGTTTGGTTGTTTGATTGCGGGGAAGGAAGTCAAATTCAACTTCAGAAAAGTTCAATAAAACCCGGTGAGTTATCTAAAATATAATTTCCCTTTATAAAATATTTTGATTCCTTATTTTTCCTTGTTGTAATTTAGGTAAAATTAGTAAAATATTCATCACTCATCTGCATGGGGATCATCTGTACGGTTTACCAGGTAAAAAGAAAATAGATTTTATACATTCATGATATTTAACCCCCTCCCCCCCTGATCGATATTAGTTTTTAGTTCAATCATGTTTTAGCAACAACACAAGTAAGGGGTGATAACGAAAAACTCGAGATTGTTTTGCATTATAAGTAAAGTAACCACAATATGAATTTTTTTCAAAATTACCAACATGCAGCAAAAATCGTTTAATTAAACTTGATTTCTTAAAAAATAGTTCAGCGCAATTTTTGATTTCTTCAAAACATGTCCATTTTCGTGGCTAAAGTTGTACCTCTAATTACCACTGAATATGGCCAAGTTGTTGGTTTTTTGAAATTGTGAAAATTTGTTTGATCTAGGGTCAAAAAACTATTGTTTTTAGAGGAATCTGGAAAATTTCCACTAAAATGTCCGGGTTTTACCTGACTGGAACTTTTTCAATTTTTAACTTATTTTTATGATTTAAACATTTTTGAATTCAGTGTTTCAAGACGGACTTTTTGGTACCCATATCGCGATATATTAAAAAATATATATATTTTTGCTTGTCCTAGTGATGTAATATTTACAAAACTATGATACGCTGCTTGAATTGAAAGTAAGAAAAAAAATTCATTTAGTTTTGCTTGTTTATGATAAAAACTTTTAATACACGTGCTGAAAGTATCTAAATATTTTTACAAAAAAGTACCAAATTGCCCCACCCTTATTGTAAGAAGCTTCGTTAATTAACAGAAATATTCGTGAGCTGAATCGGAATCCATTTTATTTACTGAACGGATCCCGGATCCGCACGAAAATGAATAAATGGATCCTTTACATTGACTGTTCTTAGGACTGCTGTGTACTCTGGGTAACGGCCTTGATCCTGTTAATGGCCATAAAACCGTTATTGAACTATATGGGCCTGTTGGAATCAGGTACACAGTACACGATATAGTAACAGTAATTATAGTAAACAGTACACTTTATAGTACAAAGTACACTAAAGTACCAAGTACACAGTACACTTTATAGTGCAGAGAACACTTTATAGTACATAGTATACTTTTAAGTACACAGTACACTATATAGTACACAGTACACTTTATTGTACACAGTAAACTTTAAGGTACACAGTAAACGTTATAGTTCACAGTACACTTTATAATACACAGTATACTTTAAAGTACATAGTATATTTTTTAGTACAAAGTGTACTTTATAGTACAAAGTGTACTTTATAGTACAAAGTGTACTTCATAGTACAAAGTACACTTTATAGAACATATTACACTTAATAGTACAAATTACACTTTATAGTACATAGTACACTTAATTGTACAATCCCAGAAATTTTGTTACTTTTTGAGCATCTGGGAAAAGTAGGGGTCTTGTAAAACACACTCTTTGGAATCTTTTATGCACTCGTTTTGAAAGAAGATGTAGGTTTAGAGTTTATTTTCATCTCTCAACACGGTGAAAAACTAAAAATACAAAAATTAGTTTTTAATAAAATTAATTAAAATTTTGTTCCAAGCTTTTATATTTCTAAAACTTACTCTGATGTGAGCTTTGAGGTGTTTAAATGCTCTTCTAGATCTTGCTTATTCTTGCCAAATTATTCTCCGATGGTTTTGAATAGCTTGAAGATTTCAGGATTGCTGTGCTCAGGGTTATCTTGCTAAACTCCTGGATATCTTTACATCTTAGGAGTTTCATATAGAATTAATCCTAAACAGTTTCTCTTTAGTAATCTTTAAACTCTTTATCAAAAGTTTCTTTTTAATAAATTGTTGTACACAGTACACTTTATAGTACACAGTACACTTTATAGTACACAACTTTTTAGTACACAGCACACTTTAAAGTACACAGTACACTTTATAGTACAAAGTACACTTTAAAGTACACTTTACAGTACAGAGTACACTTTACAGTACAGAGTACACTTTACAGTACACAGTACACTTTATAGTTCACAGTACACTTTATAGTACACAGTTAACTTTGTAGTACACAGCACACTTCATAGTACACAGTACACTTCATAGTACACAGTACACTTCATAGTACATATTAAGTACCCTGTATAATAACAGTACACTTTATAGTGCTCAGTGAACGTCATAGTGCTTAATTTCTAGTACACGGTACAAAAAAATTACTACTCAGAGATAATATATATTCATTTTTTCTAAAATATTTACCGTGTAAACTCTTTTTGAAAATCTAACAAATAAGGGGACTTAATTTATAGTGACCCCCCAAGTAAAAAGTGGTATGTCCGATTTACAACGATACCCTTGAAATCTTTCTCTCAACAAAGGTTAGTTGTCTTTGTTTTAATTTCTGGAAGTTGAAAATTTTCAATTGTGTTTTTATATTAAGTAATGTGCGGATTTATACAGCGAAGAAAGGAAACAAAATTGAGAAAAATTATACTTTGGGGGAAAAAAATATGTTAAAAAAGTTTTACATGAATGAAAAATTGTTTAGGAAGTTTGTAGCAACAACTTTGGGCTTATCAAGATCTCCGCTAGTTTTCAGGTTGGTAATTTTTCCAGTTAAATTATATGGCTGTCTTATAATTCTCACAGTTTAGCAGTTATTAATTTTAGATTTTTCATTTTCTTTNTTAAGGACAAACCTGCATTCAATAAAATAATTTTTCTTCAATCTAAATCTGTGCAATGCATATTGAATTCTTCCTACTTTTCAAGTTTCAATCTTTTTTTTTGAAAAAATGTACTTTGTAATGTTTTTTCAAGTCTCTTTGTTATGTAATATGTAGTTTTTGGCCTCTCCGTGATTAAATATAATTTTTTTTCTAGTCTTTCCGTTATGAAATATGTTGTTTTCTAGTCTTTCCGTGATAGAACTGGTCCCACTGGACTCCCAGTACCCTCCGGACTGGGCGAACTGGAACGTTTCCCATCACATTACGGAAGATGAAAAGCTTCCAATGGTACGCTATCATAATATTTGGTGGATTTTTCTTCCTGCATTTTGCGAGATTTTTAATGCTTAGAGATTGTCTCTTCTTTTTTAGAGCGATATTCAAAAATAATAAGTTCAGAAAAAAATTCCTAAGCGAAAACTCTTGGTATAAAGCGATTAAGTGCCTAATCCATGAAAACAGCTTGCAATGATCCGATTTTTTAAACTTCTAAATGGTTGGGCTTTAAAGATATCCAAAAGGAATCAACTTAAACTATCAGACTTTAATAAAAGATATGGTTCAGAAAGAATAAGAACAAAAGTTCCAGCTTCTGTTTTTTTTATCCAGCATCGTAATAAATCAGATTTATTTTAACATGAATAACTGGTTGCATCGATAATAATAATAATTTTCTTTTTAGGAATCTAGTTACAGAGCAGTTAAATATTGTGCTCAAGCTAAAGGAAAGGAGTATAATGTTTTTCCTCGAAACAAGGTTAATGTTTTTCACCTCTGTTTTGAATATAATTTTTTTGCGCTTGTTTTTTTTCTTTAGTAAGTCAGTCATTATTCCATTTTAAGCCTTTATTTAAGGCAGTAGACCAAATTCAAAACATTAAACATTATACCCTATATTCATAATCATATCAAGATTCTAATTCTTAAGAAATGATGAATATTCTGAAAAACACCAAAATATATTTCCTATTTTGAAGCTGTGCATTCTACAATTCGGATTTTAATAATTATACCCCATGTTAAAAAAGGTTGGTCACTTCTCTCAACACAAGAATTTAAAGTTTCTGCTGCTGCCTTAGGTAATGATTATTTATCTATATATATAAAGTTGTAATCTCTGTTTGTCTGTTTGTCCGATCATAACTCAGGAACCCCTGGACCGATTTGTCTCAAATTTTGATTGGGGAACTTGAAGAGCCACAAAATGTTCTAAGTTTAGTGGGTCGACTTTAATAGCGAAAATTTTGTTTTCCGGTAAAAGCTTTCAAGTGCGGGTAAACGGTAACTATGAGTACCCTGGGCAACGCTGGGTTCCCAGGCTAGTTTTTAATGAAAGCTTGGTTTTCAAGACGCTTCGCATCCCTCTTAATACTTTATTGAATGGTTAACCTACAAACATTCTCGATTCGGTATAGGTGCAAAAAATAAAAATTCAGAACAATTTCAATTATAGTATATATATAATAGCTTATTATTTTATGTAAAGTTTTTACGTATGGTTTCAAGATCTGCGCAAATAAAAGATTTAAGTCTTGAGTTTAACAGTTGATAAAAGCAAGTAAATGTCCTCCTAAACATAAATACTCATTTTTCTGTAATTCCCGTGTCTAATTTTACCTTTTATGATAAACATCCCAATACTCAATTCAAGTTTAGGCAATTTTTATTTTCTAACTTTAACCCTAACGAGGGAAAAAATTAAATTGATTTTTAAAAAAATGATTTTTTGTTTGAGAGCACAGAATTCCTAGTTTTGGATTCCATATTCGAGAACAGGATTCACCCGGTCAACTTGATGTTAACAAATTACAGGTAAATATTAGTTAAATTTAGAAAGCATCTGACGACAATATTTTAAGAGAACCCTCCATTCATTCAAAGAGTTACACTACAGTCAGCTGAAAATGTTTGTGTGTGCGCTGTGTACACTGGTACAGTCTCAACTTAATACAGTACAGCGCCCACCGGCATTTTCAGCTGTCTACAAGCGTTTTGGTAACTTCGCAAATAATACATATCTCTTTATGACGAACACATAAAGATTTTAAGGTACCGTTGTAAACTAACTTTCCCCTCTTTGCATGGAGGGTCACTTGAAATTTCTCTTACAGTCCCTATAAAGTTACATGACCGATTCACATTTCACAACCTGGTATCCTATAAATTTTTGTCAGAGCAAAAATAATATGGACCTACTTGTTTTTCTATCATAAAATCTGTAAAAAAATTTAATTGTGGTTTAAGATGCATCATTTTCTAGTTTATCCCACTCCAGAAGTTAATGACTACCGTCTTTTAATCTGTAGATCTGTGATATTTAAAACAAGTTCAGTTAAGTGTTAAGTTAATGATCGTGAAAGATTCCCACTGTGAAATCCCGCCATTGTAGTAAGAGGCCAGTGCCTCAATAGGCTATTGACTCAAAAAAAAAACAAATGATGCCCATATGCAAAATATTAAGATTGCTCCAAAAATGATGACGTGAACCCCACATTTGTATTCAAATTGGTTAATTGACCCCAATTTCACTGATTTACTGGGTGTTCTTAAATAATAATGATTAATAATAATATCAGAAAGGGAAGTGAGTATTTTATATTATTTTTGTCAGGAAGTTGGTCTGAAACCTGGACCTGACTATGGTAAACTTAAAGCCGGGAAACCTGTGGAATTTGAAGGAGTTTTATTGAAACCAGAGGATTTCCTAGGTATTACGGGAAGCTTACAGGGGTTTATATATATTTTTGAAAGATAATTTCCCCCTTCCACCCATCTCTAAAAATTTAGTTTTTTTTCCTTAGTTTATTATTAAGGGTGAAACTATTTATCGAAATTTTTGCACCAGCAAAATATTTTACACTACAGTAGCAGACGGAAGCTACATTCATAAAAGTAAAAAGTTTAAATAAATAAAACCTTATTCAGTAATTGACCAGTTAAAAAAAAAACACAGGTCATAATGGAAGGTCGATTTCTTGATGTGGGGTATCTTGAACCGCTGAATACCACTCATTTGTCCGTATTTCAATATTACAAAAATTGCTTGATTTAAGTCTTTAAAAAAATATTTTTTTAATACTCTCCACTGATATTCTTCCAAAATTCAGGTTTTTTGCTTTTATCTTTGTTAGTTTTCAAGGTATTTTACGATTTCAAGGTTTCTGAACTTATTTCAAGACAGACATTTTGATAACCATTTTTTTGTCGTTTTTTTCTGGGTTGTATTAGTGATTTTATTTTCACAACAAAGCAAAAATTTGAATTAGTTTCAAATAAAAAAAAATAAAAAAATTCTGAAATATTTTTTTAACTGTATCAAAGAAAACTTGAGAACTGGATGCAAGAAGGGTTTGAGCATTTAAAAAGAAAAAAATGTCAAATTGTTTCACTCTTAATATTTTGGTTGTTTTCGTTGAAATGAGGAAAATAATTATTTAAAAGTTGATTCAATTTTTCATCTTTTTTCTTCCAAATTGTTTCTTACATCTCAAAAAACAGTAAACATTGAAAAATATAATTTACAGGACTGAGGAGCTTTTAACATAACTAGCATATGGTTAATATCTTGAAAAATAAAATGTTCCTTAGTTTATTTACTAGTAGATTGCTAGTTTGTGTGTATTTTGGATGATTGATTGATTGATTTGCTTTGTTTTAATTTTTTGAGTTTAATTGAATTATTTGATTGATTGAGTGTTAATTTTAATATCTGATTTGATTGAGTTTTTAATTGGATTGATTGATTGATTGATTAATACATTACAGGGTCACCAGTTGTGGGCAGAGAGATCGTTATATTCGGAGACACCTGTAATAGTGACCAAATACTAGGTAGGACTAAACGCTTTCATAAAAGGTTATCCAAAAAGGATGAGACTTTTAAGACGACTGTTCGGAATTCATTTAGTATTTAGATTATTTGATGCCATTTTAGGTTCAAAACTTCAAATTCAACCATTATATTACCATAATTTAAGAGTTTCAGGTCGTCATTACAGTCTAATCCTTTGTGGGTAACCCGGTATATTTAGTAAAAATCGTAAAAATTGTTGGTTTATCTGTTACATAATATAGAACAATTAATGGGACTGTAGAATTCACTCATTTACAGCGAGACAGGTCCGATTGACTGCAGTACCCTTTAGATCTTTGGTTGATCAAAGATGACGGCGTTATCTTTATTTTTCCAGCTAAGAATTCAGTAGAGTGCACTGAATTTTCAATGAGAAAAATATTATCTGTTCGTCGTCAATAATCAGTCAAAAGGGCACTGTTGTGAATCGGAAATCACGAAAACACGTTTACAGTCCCTTTAAATCCTAAATTGGCTGGGTTTTTTTTGCCCTGCACTCTAAGCACTCTCATTTTTGACACTTTCACTTTTTTCTTTTAAAAAAAAGTTTAATTAAAAGGATTTTATGTACCCTAACCTATGCATTAAACAAATTTAATGCAAAGGGCCGGGTAGGTTACAGGGCAGAAAAAAATCCAGTCCGTGTTAAAAAAAAAATCTCATAACTTTCTATGTGACTAAAGTCATAGATATAAAAACTACAGTTTTGAAAAGCCCTTGTAAAATGAAAGTAGAAGCATGTGTAATATCTTAATATTTGTCTAAAACAAAAAAGTTTTCTGCATTTTCCCGACCCTTTTTTGGCATTTTTTTTCGAACCTTACTAGCACCCAGGCCAAATGAGTAAAGTTAGTGGCCTTTTTTTCAATGAGCTGGCCTGAAAAAGTTAGGCTATGATCCTGCATTGCAACTCTATACCTTTACTAAGGCTTTTTTCAAATGGGGACGGGGGGGGGCGTAGATTCAGATATAGAAACATAGATTCAGACACCCCAGCCGTTTTAGGGTTTAGAAAAAACAAACAAATGAACTGTGATGTTTATTTAGGTTTGACCAATTCTCCAGATATATTTATCCACGAAGCAACTATGGAGAATAAGTTCAAGGTAGATATGATGTTCAAGCTTGGGAACCCATGTGTGCATAGAAACCAAGTTTTCCACAGAAGAAAATGTCGCCACAAAAGTCAACCCTCTTGATTCAGAATTGTGTAACTGTAACCAAACTAAGAACATTTCCGTGGTGGTTCCGAGTTTCCCAATTAAAATTGTAAGCAAATAAATTAAGGGGTTCATGAGTTATGATCAGACATACAAACAGGCAATACCGATGCAGGTCCGATATACTTTTTTTATATAATACGGTGTATTATTTTTAGGAGAAATGTGTAGAAGTTGGACACTCAACCCCTGACATGGCCGCCGATATTGCTCTAAGAGCAAGAGCAAATCTACTTGTTCTTTTCCATCTTAGTCCTAGATATAAAGATATTGGAGATATTCTTAAAAAGGTGAGAAATAAAAAATTTTGTATAAAAAGGTTGTTTTTTATATTTAAAAAAAGCATTCTAATTTTGGAGATAATTCAATATAAATATAAATATAATACAGTATACCCAAAGTAATCCGCCAAATTCACCGTTGTATCTATATATCTATCCTACCTGACTCACTGGTAGCATCTAGCATCTCTCTGCTGTAGAGTGGTTGCCGGAGGGGGGAGGGGGCGGAGCTCAGGGTGCTAGTTACTTTAGGGTCAGATCTTACTCTTTATACCTTATCCTTGATCTTGTCTAGGACGACTACTCAGCGGAGACCCTGCTTCTCGAGGCCCAGGAATACCTCAAGTCCAACAACTCTAGAATGGAGGTCATGGTGGCCGAGGACCTCATGGAGGTTATTGTGCCTCGAAAAAAATCCTGATGTTTTAGATTCTTGGAGTTCAGCCAGTTTCTTCGACCCACATTTTAAATAGAATCTTGCCTGATTCACGACGATGTTATTTCAAAATTAGAATAATACTTCATTTCTCACCGCACTTTTAATCTTAAATCTAGTTTTAATTTAAGCGACACGATGAATATGCTTACATGGATTTTTGCACCAACTCTCTTAACTGAAATAATCATCACTTTTAGATGCTTTATCCATACCATGAATTCTTTTTCGGACATGGAAAAAAATATTGATAAAAAAATTTCACGGATTAAATAAATTAAGCGAAAAAAAATATTTGGAAAGCATTTTTCGAATTGTGGCGAGCCATAGACCTTTCCTGGGGTCATGTTCGGCCCAATTGTTTCCTTCGTTATGACGTTTATTGGATACAAATCATTTATTTAGATATCTTCTCATAGACTCATATAGATCGATTAACACTGAGATTGTTACTATGTGATAAAATGTGATATTGTTTTCTTTAAGGGACTTCAAGCGTAACAATGAGTAACCCTCCATGCAAAGATGTCACATGACTCCATGGACACCTTAATCGGATCAAAAATTTAGAAGATTACCCAAAAAGTGTAAAATTCAGATAATTTATTCAGTCCTTCTTATAAAGGCAAGAAATGTGCAAGTTATTTTTTAAGGAAAAAAAATGAAAAGTTTTTAGAAACAAAGTCATGTAGTTCCAATTTATGCTTGATCAGACAACCCTTTTAAAGGAACCGTTGTAAATCTGGCATTGCCATCTTTGCATGGTGAGTCACTTGAAATTACGCTAACAGTCCCTTTACCTTTTATTGTTATTGTTATTTTTTTCTTCAGAAAAATGACTCGAAGTAAATATGTTGAAGGGGAAACTGTTCTTTGTTTTCAAGGAATAATGATTTACGAAGCAAAAGTACAGGTCTAATAATTTTTCTCAAATGAATAGATTAATTCATTCTTTCGTGACTGATATTGATTTTTTTACATTTGATATGAAACAATTTCTTTATTATTCTTAATTATTTCTAAAAAAGTGTCCTAAGCATTTTTTAGAAATAGCAGTTGCAACAAATTGCAAATGCAATATTTTGATTACATTTCCTAAGTGAAATGGAGAACGATGACAATATTGAACTCCACATCTTTCTTGTTTTGAACGTAGCTTAGCGTGTTTTATAATCAAGCGTATCTCTTAACAAAAGTGTTATAAGGCGTACACAGTGAGGGGAGGGGCCCAGCCCCCTGAATCAGTAAAATCTATGGTTTCCAGAGGGTTCTCAGGCCCCTCCCCCTGAAAAGAAAAAAAGTATGCAACCTCCCCCCACCCCCCCACTTGACAAACTCCTGTGTACGTCTCTGAACTACGTTGAAATTCGATATAATGATGAAATTTGTCTAAACATGAATATGTTCAGGGAGTAAGGAAGGAAGATGGTATATTTGAATTTGATATTCATTACAAAGGTTTGTATTTTTTTTTATAAAATATACACAGATTTAATATTTTTGTTAAGCGATATTGAACAAGTAAGAAATTCCTTGTTTTGTTGCCAAGTAGATTAATATTTAAAAATGGAGAGAATTTTAAAAATAAAAGGTTTTAAAAATAGAATTTTTTCTTTTAAAGGATTGTTCACTTTTTATTCTATCATAGGCTGTACTAGTATTCCAATAAAGGGATTGTTTAATCACCTTTTTTTCAGGCTGGAACAAGACTTGGGATGAATGGGTAACGGAAGAGAGACTTCTCAAGGAAACATGAAAATTATAAAAATAAATTTAAGTAAATATTTGTGACGGAACGTATTAGGAACCTATAACTATAAATAGATTCTAGTACAAATAGATGGCAATGTAGAATTTGAACACTCTCAGTACAGCTCTGTTACTGTTCTGACGTCACAAGTGTAAACTCAGTTTTTGTGTCCGACAAAATTATTAATATTAATGCTAATTTTAGAACGAAGTGCTTATTTTGCAGTAAAATAAGTGCAATTTTTTGTGTTCTTTATTTTCTGCTTTTAAACTTTTTTATTTAATCTTGGAAAACATGTCAACTAATGTGAGAAAATTTAGTTTTCCTTGTTATATTTGACACTTGTGACGTCGTGTATAATTGGATCATTTCCCTGTTGCCACCTATTGTACTTGATAATCTATTTGGATGGGACAAATTATTTTCGAAATGAGGGGGGGGAGGTGATTTTTAAAGAAAATATATAAAAATCATAAAAAAAGTTTGTTAATAAAGGCTGGATTTTTTTTCTGGGTGGGTTATGAAGGTTTGTAAATCACTGGTTATCAACATTTTCTGAGCAATCCTGATCTGTACATGAGAATTCACTTCGAGAGTGCCTTTTATCAGTAATATACGTTGGTTTGAAGGTTCCATTTTTTTTCTTTACAGAAAATTTCATGTTTGTCTCTAGTTTACTCCAGAAAACCAGAAACGGATGAAGGAGGTGGAAGAGGAATTAGCAGCTAGAGGTCTTGTTTATTTTAGTTCATGAATGATAATAATAATTACAATAATGATAAATGCCACAAACCTTCAATCCTTATTAAATCATGGTGGGGCTCACGTTCACAGAATATATTGGGGAGGGGGGTATATTTTTTAATCGTAGGGAAATGTTATATTTAATTATATTTTTGCATCTGTTTTGTGTAAATCTAACTTGTTTAAAACTTATTCTTGTTTTTTGAAATTTTTATTCAAGAACTTTAAAAAAAGTGAGTGAAAATAACTTTTTAAAAACAATTAAAAGTAAAAATGCGGGATAACAATTCTTTTAAATAAATGTAAAAAATCAAAACCAAAGAAACAGATTTTTAATTCCAAACTCTTTACACTTTTTAATTTTTAACACTTCAAGGGAAATTGATTGTTACAGGTAAAAGAGGTTTTGTTGTGAAAAATTATTGTAATTTTTTTAATTGTTCCAATTTTAGGTAAAACCTATGCGTCTAAAAAAAGTGGAGGTGGCGCCATCAGCCAGAAAAATCCAGAATCCTCCCCAGAACCATCTAGCGGCGATAAACGGAAACAAGAAATGCCCCTCACTGAGGGAAAGAAGCAAAAAGTTACCGATCCAACACTAAAGAATTTAGGGTAAGTTTTATAAAATTAGGAATATTTGAGTTCAGAGCAATAATAATTTTTTTTTAGGATTATGAAAGGTTTAAAACCTCGTTCCCGAAGTAACTCCAATACAAGTATTCTTAGGGATATTTATTTTCATTTTATCTTAGTTTTGTCCTTTTTATTTTTTATGTTTCACTGTCTTAACTCTTTTATGCAAGGTTTCCCAAAAAATGTATTGATTTTTCACTATTCTTGGACTTTTTTTAGTTTATTGTCTTCTGATTTTCAAAAATCAAATGCTTTTTAAGGTTTTTAAATTATAATAAAATAATAACTTGATAAAATATCTAATTTAGCACAAAGTCGAATACGAGCACAAAGCAGGAAGAGAGACCAAAACGTTCTGTTAAAGATATAAAAGTTGGTTCTGTTACTCCTGATCCGAAACCTGCTCCAGGAAAGAAACCTGGAGAGGTTAAAGAGAAAAAACCAGGAGATTCCAAAAAACCAGGCAGGATTATATATTTCAAGAATTTCCGCAAAAATTTAGATGTAGTTGTACTGATGATTGTATATTTTTAAAAATTACACCAAATAAAAAATTTGACAAGAAAGGTAAGGATGTTTTTTTCAACAAAAAAAAATTTTCCCTTGAAAACTTTTATTTTTTATCCTAAACCTAAGATTCAAGAGGGGGAAATTTCTTAAAATTGTAACTAAATTTTTAGGAAGCGGGGGTGAATTTTTCAAGAAAATATAAACCATTGTTACCTCTTTTGCGGTGAAGGGTGTGGTATGATTTACAAAGATATGGTGGGGGAAATCGAAAACTGTCGAAGTGTCCTCCCCTCCCACCCCCCACTCTTCATATCTTTTACCTGAAAATTAATTTATATTACCCTAAAATCAATTATTTCAGCCAATCCGCAATTTCTTCGTTAATGACTTTTGATGGAGGGGAGGATTTTTCTTAGAAATAGATACCCCTGATACTAGGAGAAAGCAAGGAGAAAAAGAAACCAAAGAAAGCAGAAAATCAAGGAATACAAAACAGATTCAAACCTAAAGAGAAAACGGTGAGGATTAATAATAATAAATCTAATATAATAAATATAATAAGGTCAAAAGGTTCTTTCTACCCATTTTAATTTTGATAATCTGAAAACCTGTCAAACTGTAAGGAACCCTTTAAAGAAACTGGCATAATTTCAAGTGACCCTTCATTTTTAAAAGAGAGGAATATTGGATTCAAAATGGTAAACTTTAAAGCTTTGTCTTATCAATTATAAATTAGATATCCATGTTTATATTTTTGAAAACTGATGATAATTGTAATTCCATGCGACCCTTCATCTAAAACTGAATGCCCGAAATACAAGGATACCCTAAATCTAACAAAAAATCAAATGTTGAAGAAAACGTCGTTTTTTGTCTCGGAAACTGAAAAATTTTGATGATTTCTCCAGTCTTTCTTACAAGCAAGAAATGCGCGTGTCACTTTTGAAGAGAAACCACAAATCAAAAACATAACAGTTTCAAATCTTACTTGATCAGACAAAGGTTTTAAGGGTGCCGTTGTAAACTAGCATTGCCATCATTGCATGAGGGGTCACTTGAATGTACGCTTACCCTCCCTCTAAAGTAGAAGGAAGTCTTAGGTAGATTGTCTTTGAAATAATTTTATTTGATCCGTCATTTAAATGTGGTAATGGTATGTCCAATTTTCAACAGTACAGAAGTAGAAAAGGCTTTTCGTCTTGAACTAAAATGTTAAAATAGAAAAATACAATTAGATATACTTCTAGGTTGCATTTGGTGAAGGAGTTCGAATAGAGCTTAGCGAAGAGTTAAAGAACGTTCTGGTCGATGATTTTGATTATATGATAAGACAGAGGAAACTGTTATCCATCCCTAGTAGATATACAGTAGAGGTAGGCATTGATTGATTGATTGATTGATTGATTGATTGATTGATTGATTGATTGATTGATTGATTGATTGATACGACAGAGAAATCTATCCCCAGGAGATAATTGATATACAGTAGAGATTATTATTTTAGATGATATAGTTCAATTAGCAATAACGTTGTCATTGTCATTGTTATTTTTATTGTCATTCCTTCCTAATGTAATAAAGCTCTTCGACATCCTGATATTCACAATTTGTAAAAAGCTCTTCGCTCAAATATATACAATATACATATTGTTTTGTATGTGTTCGCTATGGCTGGCCATACAGCTGGAATAAAATGGCTGAAATTCTTGAGGCCACCCTTGGATTGACAAAGGATAAAAAAGAATGTGGATATTTAAACATTTTCCTTCTAAATCTCAGAAACTAAAACTAAAAAACTAAAATGTGCAAAACTTAAAAAAGATTGACGCTACAGTGTTACAACATTTTTAAATTTTTAAATAAATATCAATTTATTTGTTCTATGTTCATGTTCCTTTATGTAGTGTACATTGTAATGAAAGTATTTGTAAAAATCCTGGAAAATGACAGAAAGTAATTTTAACCAAATAGTTCACATAACTTGAAAATATCAAGACAATAAAAACATTATTTCAAATTAAATATTAGATTTTTAATTACAATTGAATGTACTATTATTACATTTATTTAGATAATTGCTTAGCAAATAGTGAAATAGGTAGTTGTATCGCTTCAACAGCATTGTCTTTGAATTAACGGAACTGAAAGCGTAATTTTAAGTAAAAATTCATTGTTTAATAAAATATTATATACTTCTGTACACTATACCTTATATATAGCATACCAGTGTACACGGTACCATGTATAATGTAATTATATAACATACTGTATACTGTACAGGATAACAAGAATATCCCTCTGTGCCAACTGTACGGTCCTGTTCACCTACTGAGATTAATTACGAAGCTTGGACCGATGCTCTCTGCCACAAGCCTGGATAAAACCTCGTTAGCTCTTCTATTAGACAACGTCAAGGTAATATTTTATTATAGAAAATTAACCGGACAAGGACAGTTGACGTCATGTAATTTCAAGTGTCTTTTTGTCCTTGATGTATATTTTTTAGAATCCCCTCCTCTTCCCCATTTTTGATGAATTTGAGGGGAAAATCAAAATGTACATCAAAAACAAGTTTTTTTTGATCCTTCCTCCTCTAAAATCATTTTTATCTCCAATTCAGCGAGAAAAAAAAACTTTTCCTCCATTTTGAGAGAATAATGTCCCGTGTATTAACTTACTGAATTCAGGACATTTTACGATAGAAATACGACCTTTTCTTCCCCATCGTTGCTCAGACAAAGGTTAAAAGAAATCGTTGTGAATCCGGCATGTCACAGTTTGAATGGAAAATGTCATAAAATTACGTCTCAAGTCAAATAATCTATTTACCAAAAATTAATTTTCTTCTTTTTAGGATTTTATTGAATATATTGGGAGACACAGAGAAACCCTGTTTCAAATAGAGGTAATTTCTTTTTATTCACATATTATTTAATATTTGTCAAGTCAAATTTTACATTTTTTCACTTGAGATTATATGTGTTATTTTTTGCTGAAATTCATTTTCTGATTGTAATGAATTAGAACACTTTTAGTATTTTATTCTTCAAAAGAATACATTACCATAGTTATTTGTATTTTTACTAGACTTTTAGGGCGCTCATATCTTCTATTTTAACTTTTAAATGTGGCACTATCTTCTCTTTGTACAAACAATGACAAATAAAAGTTTACGAATTTTCAAATTTTAGCATTCATAAACCTTCCCTGGGGTCATGCGAGAACCCACACAAAACAAACATACAGACAATTAAAATATGTATGTACAGAAGATAGAAGAAGAAGATTGTAATATCTGTTTTTTTTTTTTTTTTGTTGTTTATATGTTCGGTCTCGACTAATGAACCCCTGGGCCGATTTGCCTAACATTATGATTGGTTAACTCGGTAAATCCAAGTGCATGATCTAAGCATGACAAAAAAAATTTGTTATATTTCGTTTAGACAAAGCCGGGTTCACAAGCTTGTATACTAATATATATATATATATATACTGTCTCAACTGTCCCTTGGGATAATATATATAGTAAGATATGCCGCTTTGCGAAGTCACTGTAAACTAGCCAGGAGGAGAAGATTTGATTTGATTTGAAATCTATGCTTCACTACTCGTACATTTTTGTGACCTCGTAGCTCCTCTCTTTTAGATTTTAAGAACAAATAAGAGAAAATCAAATTTATGGTCGACCATATTAATAATAATAATAATGATATTTCAGGATTATGGAACTGCATCCCCCGAGTACCACAGAAGAGCAATATGAGCAATATATGTCTGAACTACATTCTCTACAATATAACCAACCCTTTGTTCAGCAGGCAGCAAATATAAAAAGTAAATTTTAAAATGTACTAAATTGTTTTGAAGTTTACTCGGTGATAAAGCGAGATTGATATCTTAAAATAAAAATTGAAGTTTCCCTAAAAAAATATCTTAATATGTAAATTATTGGAAAAAATAATGTTTTTTTACAAAATATACGCTCTCGTTGTACATAACAACTGTATTGCGTACACTGGGGGCCCAGAACAGTTTTGTTACTTATAGATCTGTATCGGTTACTATTGAACATTGGTTGTCAAAGGGACTGTATTCGTAATTTTAGTGACCTTCCAGTTAAGCATTTAAAGGGACTGTAAAGGAAAAATGAAAGGGGGGTTTAGGATGAAACCTGAGAATGTCATGCGTTGAACGCGATACATATAAGACAATAAGACATCTATCTGATGTTCCTGTCTCGAGAAATTGATATAAAGGTTTCAGCCTTTACCTCCTTTCATTTTTCCTTTAAAGCCCCTGTAAGGATACCGATTTGAATCTGACGTGTCACTCTATCAAGGATCACTTGTTCAATTAAGTTCACTGTTCCTTTGATTTATATTGAAGATTACAAATCTATTATGACTTATGAGGTGAACATTTATGTTATGGATTTTATGATGATGCAGACTGTGCGGACCCCACTGCCCATGGATACGTTTCGGAGGCTAGGAGTGCCGACTCCTACTTCATTGAATGATGGCTTATCCTTTAATAATAATAATAATAAAGTTACGTTTTCATTCATGTTATGTGTTAGCATGTCTTAACTTGTAAAAAAAAACCTTTATTTATATGCAACTATGCAAACTGAAGAAATTATTTTACTTCTTACGTTTTTTTAGATAACCCTAATTTTTCATAATTAACTACCCATAAGTACAAAATGTTTTGTTATGTTTTGTTATTAATGTATTTAGATTGTAAAAAGTCTTTCAATTAGCTTCGTGAATAATGTTATCACACTTTGTTGTGTAAAAAAGCACGCTGCTGATGTGAACAATGTTACTACACTTTGTTGTATAAAAAACATTCTGCGGATTATTTTACTTCTTTGTTTTGTTACTCACTTAAAAAGTATTTCATTTTAATTATTAGTATTTTGAATATGTTGATAAATTGTGGAATATTCAAGCTAATAATAATAATATTTATTTTCAGACATTGAACATTTTTCACAATGAAAGCAAATGGCATGATTGATGACGGAATGATAAACTAGGAAACAAATTTTTTTTTTGAAAAATAATTTTTTTTACAACAGTATTTATTCATTAACCCTTTTTGGAGTAAAATAGATAAAAATATTGTTTTGTTTTTTTGTGGTTTCCCAATTAAGTTGCGGATTTATGCGGCCGAGAGAATGAATGAAATTGACAGAAATCTAAAACATCGATATCTCCCTCATCGTTGCTCAGATAACTGTTTAAATGGGGGATGCACTTCTTATATGGGTATTGACGTCACGTTAGTCTCTTTAAATTGGCTGAATTAAATAAATAAACTGCTAAAATTGTTCCAAAGTTTAAATCTTTATTTAACATTACAGGGGAAGAACGTTCCAACCCGTGCCTATGTTCCAAACCTGACACTGAGGTTTGGGCACAACTATCATGATCAACGTTTAAATGACTCTTCTTGTGCCGAGTGCAAATATCATATAATGAACCTATTTCCAACATATTATGAAGCACGAAGAGAACTAAAAATAACACTATTTACTTCTTTTCTAAACTTAACTTCAAGTAATCATATTTTCGAAACAATTCAATGTTTTCATTCTCGCAAATTTTCGCCTTTTAAAACAATAAAAAATATTAAACAATTCAGAACAAAACACACTTTCATAATTTACAGAACAGCATAAATCACTGAAAATATTTTTATCTTCAAAATTTTTCTAGAATTTGTTTGGATATTATACTTTTATATACTAGGAGTACAGATGATTTCAAGTTTTTATTTTTAGTAAAACAATTCTCGCAATTTTTCTGTTCAATTAAATTGTAAGAACACTATAATATTAATGTTAACATTTTTCAGTTTTTTAAGTCGTTCAAGTTTAAATATCAGAACAGAATGTAATATTTTATTTGTATAGTTTCATTATTTGAATTCCACAATGTGCAAAAAGCTTGTTTTGTTACCAAATGCTGTAAATGCTTGAAAAAATGTCGTAACTCGTGACATGTTCTAAAATGTGTTTTGCGGCCAAACTTTGCATTTGCTTTAAAAATGTGACATGCTCTAAAACAAAATCAATCATCATTAAAAATTGAAATTTATTTATTAGTTGGGGTTTTGTATTAAAATTTTTGTTATAAAAATGTAGTTGGCTATTCAAAATTAAAGTATGCAGATGGTTAAATTAAAAAAGATAAATTTGCTGAATTGGACAGAACCTAACACTGGGCTAAATCACGGTTTCGAACTTTCTTCCCCTGCATTGATAAAGAAAGATGCACTATGTATTTTCTTATCAATTATTCTAAACAAGTTTTTATATATTATTTTTGCAGAAACATGTCAATAGTTCAATATATCCTTGTTAGAGGAGATCTACTTCTAAAGGTACTTTTTAACAATTATTGTCACCATTTCTGACAATCATTTTCATGATAAGTGACAATCATTTTCACATTTCTTACAATCATTTCATCATTTGTGACAAAATTTTCACATTTCTAGCAATCATTTTCATCATTTGTGAAAATCATTGTCGCTTTTTCTGATAATAATTGTCACCCTTTCTGGCCATCATTGTCACCTTTTCTGACAATCAGTGTCGCCTTTTCTGACAGTAATTGTTCCCTTTTCTGACAATGATTGTCGTTATATCTGACAATCATTGTCACTATTTCTGACAATCGTCACCATTTCTGACAATCATTGTCATTATTTCTGACAATCATTGTCATTATTTCTGACAATCATTGTCACCATTTTTTAGAATTATTGTCACCATTTCTTATAATCATTTTCACCATTTCTGATAATCATTGTCTGCATTTCTGACAATCATTGTCGCCATTCTGTCAGTAATTGTCACCATTTCTGAAAATTAGTGTCACCATATCTGACAATCATTTCCACCCTTTCTGGCAATACAATAATTGTAACCAGTTCTCATAATAATTGTCACCATTTCTGACAATCAGTCACTATTTCTGAAAAGCATTTTCCCTATTTCTGATAATAATTTCCTCAATTTCTCACAATGATTGTCACTATTTCAGACAATCATTGCCAGTCTTTCTTACAATAATTGTCACCATTTATCATAAAAATTGTCGTCATTTCTAACATTCATTGTTGACCTTTCTGATAATCAGTGTCACCCTTTTTTCTGACTATAATTTCTGACAATCTTTTTCACAATTTTTGACAACAATTGTCACAATTTCTGACATTAAATTCTCATCATTTATGACAATCATTGTCATCATTTCTGAAGTTCGGGGGGGGGGGGGGGTAAAGAAGATGAAAAAAGAAAGACAGCAGCAGGACGACTTGAAGGCCGTCTTTTGTTCGTAACCTTAATCCTAGCATTTTCTTCAGATTTTGACAATTTTCTGAACGAACTTCGTAATATCTCCGGTATTACTGACAACATAACAAAAACAAACATATGGAAATACCAGGATTAGGAGAATTTTGTGATTTTTGCAACACTTTCATTAACCATGCATATAAACGTAGATGTAGTTTGCCTTTCTACTGTCAAGTTTCGTGGGACACCCTGTATATGGATTTATTTTGATAATGAATTAAATGGAACTGATCTCACAACAAATATTATATATTTTTGATATTTTTTTGAATATATGTGTTCTATGGAAATATTGTTTTTAAGTACTTATCTCTCAATTTATACTATTATTGTAATCATTATTATAAATAAAAAAATCTATATTTTTATTTATTTACTTTTTCTTGTTAAGCTGTACTTTTTCATTTTCATCAACAGCTTCGTCATTTTTATCATCTTCGTCATTTTTATCATCTTCGTCATTTTTATCCTCTTCGTTTTTTTCCTTAATCTTCGTTATTTTCATATTTTCGTCATAATCATCATTTTCGTCATAAACATCATTTTCATTATAATCATCATTTTCATCATAATCATCATTAGTTTTAGCATCATTATTTTCATAAGCATCATGATTATTATCATCTATATTATTATCATCAAAATTATTATTACCATTATCATCGTCATAATCATTAATAATCATCATTATCATAATTATGTAGGAAGGTTGGCCTGTTGGCGCTGTAATTGCCCAAGCTTGTCATGCCGCTACAGCTGCCATTCATCTCTACTACTCAGGAATCCATTAAACATTTAGAATTGATTTAACAATAACCTTTAATAATAAATATATAATTATAAGGGACTGTTTGCAGTTATTAATCTCATGTTGCTATATCAATATATCGTTAAAAATATGCAGGGAATTAATGAATTTAAATAAATCAGAGTTGGGCGGTCTGGGGGGTCCACAATGGGGCCTCTTGCAGATTTCACTTCCTTATGATTCCTTATTGTTGATATCGAGAACAATGCTTGATCTCGATCTTTTTTTAATCTACAGATTAATTTAATTTTTATTCGTTATCCCGCATTGTAATCGTACACAAAAGTTAAGTAAGTTAAAGTAAATTTCTTGTTAGATTGACATTTAATATGTTCTCAAACATAACGATCTTTTTCTGATGAAAATTTTGTATGTCTACAACCAAATAATTGTTCTCATATACAACTGGGTGCAAAATCAAAACTAAGGAGCTACGAGGTTCAAAAGTCGGACCAGTAATTTCAAATATGAATACCTTTGAATGTTTGCGGCATTTTTTCGGTCGATCTTTAAAACTGATTTTTAACCAAACTACATAGAATTACATTAAAATATAAATATTTAATTATTAGAAAATATTTAAAGTTCAAATTGGTTTAATAATTTACTAAATGATTAATTCAGACGAACAAACCCAGTTATTCTCTGTTGGCGGCAGCCTGAGGGATCTCTTATTGGTGGAAACTATGATACATCTAAAAGGAATTGATTGACCTAATTCAATGTGCCGCCACATAATACTATTTGATGAAAAAAGAATTTAACTGAAAAGTATGAGGAATGAGGATGGTTATTTAAAACAATCATTGAAATTTAATGTCAGCAATAAAATGACTTCTAATTTGAATTATCAAAAAATCATTCTCCATCTAATGAACTGAATTCTTGACAGTACATTTGTTTCATGAAACGTGCTGGGTCGGTCGACTCTACAGTCTACATTGGGCTGTCCAGACTGGATACACTGTACACTACGTGTTGTACCGGCACAGATCATGCAACTTTTAGAGTGGGGTGAATGAGTTATCCAAAATGGGGTTTTTCTGTTTTGAATTCTATTTACTTTCAAAGAAGGGGGACTCAATAGGGTTGAGACATTTTTCTAAATCAATTTTACAAAGCAAAATGGAATTCCACTTAAAATTTTAAGGCATGTTTTAAACAGTATTTTTCACAATTCAAAAATGGGCCCCTCAAATGATTAAATTTGTAAAAAAAATCAGAAGTGTAAATGAAAATGAAAATTTTTTTAATTTTTTGGTTTCTATAGAACAGTTTGAAAACCGGAGTTCGAAACAATTTACAGAATTGAAAAATATTGAAAATTAGCAAAAATCGTTTTTTCTTAAAATTGAGTTCTTAAAAAAATGGGAAGTTTTTACCTAACTCGGTCAAATTTAATATTTTTAAAATCTGTAAATTTAATATTTTCAAAATCTGTAAATTTATTTGAATTTCAAAATTCGGTCTGGTTCCAATAATGCCCAATTTGATAAGTTTTTCAAGAATTTTATTTTCAATTACTTGTTTCACATTTTTTATCATTGAACCCCATTTTAAACAGACATTTTTGATATTTGAGAAAATGTATTTAATCAACATGTCTCAGTATTTCCAATAGAATACTTTTTGCTGCTGTAAAATTGCTTCAGAAAAATTTCACACACTTACCTCTCAAGGATTTCCAGCCGAGCCATATATAAGAACCCTAGACAATAAAGATTTTATTCAATAAATAGAAACCAGAAAAGATTTTTTAAATTTTATTTAGTGTTTATTAGATCTATGCAATTACAAAGAAAAAGTTTGAGCAAGAACAGTCTTTGGGGTGGTTCGAACAAAGTTCTGCTAACTACCTGGGTTCGATCAGGATATTGCGATGTTCATGGCCGCATTTCCTAGGACAGACCCAAAAATAGCAATGTAGACGTGATGTTAAGTAACATTACGTTTTTTAACAAAGATTAAAAAGGCCTGCCCGATTGACAACGGTACACTTTTTAAACCTTAATCTATGCCCTAACAAAGAATGAAATTAACAGAATCAACCTTGTTTATATTGTAAATGGAAAGTTTAAAGGTAACCGGCATGCCCTTATTTAAATATAGAGTCATTGGTAATTACAAAGATAGTTCCTTTAAGAAGATTTAGATGTTGCCAAATAAAGTTTCTTTAAACAATATGTTACAGAAGTTGCCACTTAATTCCCATGTTTTGTGGAACACCCTGGGATTAAAAGTAAGGTTTCCAACGCAGGTGAATTTTACTTGCGTGCAATTGCTGGGCCTGTAATTTCCGCGCAACGGAATTCCGATTGGAAACCCAGGGATTAAAAGGTGTTGTCCCAGAGGCCGCGATGTAAAAGCTTAGGTTCTAGTCTTAATTCCTTAACGTTCAAAGTTAGATCCAGCGTGGTAAGATTTGACAAAAATAGTCGCAATGAATCTCAAAACTTATTTTAGTCAAAAAAAATTAATCCCGGACCTTTAACCCAGTTCAACTTTAGGACGAAATTAGATTTTTTGAAAATATAATTTTTTGTTTTAAAAATATTGATTTTTAAAGTCACAAACTGTGGATTGAACAGCCTGAGAACTATCCAACATGTATTGCTCTGAAACCATATCCAAAGGAAAGGAACATCATCTAACATTCTTCAAAATCAGCCTTATTTATAATTTTTTTTTTTTTCGTCTTAAGATTTTATTTTTATTGAATTTCAAGTCGTCTTTTAATAATGCTAATGAGTATAGGACTCTGGACCTAATTTAAGGAACTATGCTTTCTAATTTAACTTTTAATAATGCTAATGAGTAGAGGACTCTGGACCTAATTTAAGGGACTATGCTTTCTAATTTAACTTCTAATTGTGGATCTATCTGTGAGCATCGTCTCTAGTTGTGCAATATAAAACAAAAACATAAAAATTTTGCAGATTTAAACATATTTTTTCGCGCATTTTCAAAATTTTATAAAATTAAAAACTTTTTGACACAAAGTACATAGATAGATTGGGGAGGTCTCTGAACTACAACCAACCGGTTCAAATCCTGAATCTAAATCTTTAATTTTGAATCGGTGATTCAGGATTTGAACCTGCGGTTGGTTGTTCAGTGAGTACCACCTAGCTCAAATTCATTAAATCCCGTCCATGGTCCCTCAAGCACTTATTTTCTATAAATCCTGATATCATGTTGTGACAGTTGTGGAACTTTGAATTCTGCTAGATTAAAAGTTAAAGATATTTAATGTACGACATCAGTACGGTTGCAACGATATAGAAATTAGAAAATTGGACTGTAAATGAAAATTCAAGTGGTATTCCATTGAAAGATTTGTATGTTCGATTCACAACGGCAACCTGAAAAGCTTTGTCTGATCCAAGTTTAATATGATATCCAGTTTTTTTGCTAATTTTTATTTTTATTTATATTTTTATTTTGCTTTATAATTGGCTTGCGCATTTCCTGCTTCATAAGCAACTGATGAATTTTTAGAATTTAACACTTTTCAAAGCAGAATAACGAGACATTTATGATTCGATTAAGGTTTCCAGGGTATCGTTGTAAATAGGATATTGCCATCTTTGCATGGAGGGTCACTTCAAATTAAGCTTACAGTCACTTTCTAGTTTTATTTTCAAATTATGAAATGTTGTCTTTTGTAGGAGGAGGTTCAGAAGTTTTTCAAGAAGTTTAAATTATACAAGGGGCCTAAACTGGCAGTGGAATAAAATCTTTTAATTAATCTTTATTTTCACCTTTATTTCATGGTGATAGAAAACTCAACCTTGAACAAGAATGTTCATTTAAAACTAAATGAAATGCTGCACGATATTTCTAAATACACTTTAAAATAAAAGACTTATTTTTTGTCACTTTTCTAAGGAAAACTTTAAAAACACTTTTTTATTTTTTTTATATTTTTTCAGAAAAATGTTGAAGAACGTAGTTGGACTTGTGACAGGGGGCGCTAGTGGACTGGGCAAAGCAACTGTGGAGAGGTAACAGATACTCCAAGGGGGGGAGTAAATACGACACCCTTCCCTCCCCCCCTGTAAACTCATTCTTTTTACTAAGGATCTCATTCCCCCCCCCCCTTTTCAAAGAGTGTATTATTCAAAAATGTCTTATTTGTACTTCAATCTTGGTTGTTTATGACCTTGATAAGATTAGATTAGTGTTTTTAAGAATAATATAAGATTCATAAATATACTAGCTTGGGAGCCCAGCGTTGCCCAGGTTTCTCACTTTACCCGCACTTAATCGATTTTACCAGAAAACTTAATTTTTGCTATTAAAATCAAGCCACTCAATTTAGCTAAAACTAAGCTAAGAATATTCCCGCGCGTGGTTCTCCCAAGTTCTCCAATCAAAATTTGAGGAAATTCGGTCAAGGGGTTCATGAGTTATGATCGGATTTACAGACAAACAGAGATAACTACTTAACATATATAGATGTTTTTAGGTTTATCCGAGAAGGTGCTAGGGTTACCCTCTGTGATCTCCCATCATCTCAGGGTCCGGAGGTTGCAAAGTCTCTAGGTAACAAAGTTATAAACCTATCTACTGATTAGGATTAGGATGGCCATTCTAGGTATAAAACAAACTGTGCAAATTTTTAAATGAAATGCCGAAGTCTAAAACAAAAATAAATTAAACTTTAAATTCTGAAGGGTTCTATTCGGGGAGGAAGACTCAACTGACAAAATTTCCAGAAATAATTCGAGTTGAAACATTTTTCGAAGTGTCTTCCTTACACAAACTCTAAAACTATCGGCTTTGATAAAAAAAGATGGTTTAGGGGAAATGAAAATGTGAATGTAACTTGTAAACTCTGAAATAATGAAATTGTAAACGAACAATTTTTTTGTTGTCTCTTTTTCTTTAACCAAATAATAGTAGTTAATCATTATCAATAATCAATTATCATTCAAGCTTATTATAACTGCTGATCCTCTCTTTTCAGACAGTTTGTACTCTTCTTCTAAGATTATCGATTCCAATATTTGAGAGAAACTTTAATTTGTTTTTATTTGGAGATGTCGAGATTTTTATTTAGTATTATTTCTGTTAGAAATTTTATCCTTAAACTTTTGCTAAAGTTGCTATTTTTATTGTCATTTAATAAAAACTTTTTTGCGAATTTTTCTTTTTATATGGGGGGGAGTTTTAAAAAATGATAAATTTCGAAATTTATTTCGGGGCCAAATTTTTCGTTTTTAACCCTTGGGTCATAAGAATTTCCACCCAAAATTTTGGCCAAGTTGGTTCTGTTATGTTTTGACGTTTATTTGATACAAATCTTCATACAGACCATCGGAATTTTTATATAAATTTAAATTTAAGTAGCTTTTTCTTCAGCTATGCATTTTTTTAAATTCTAATTCCTAGTATTCTTGGGAAAGGGAAAGGTTACGTTATATACAGCCTCTGGGGATCAATGCCTTCCCGGTTCAAGCAACATAATGATAAATATGTTTTTAATATGCTTGAGACAAACATATATTTTTGATTTAATTTCATTTGAAATATTTCTCCAAAAATTCATTTATTATTTTTCCAACTTTGATATAAACCCAACCTACAAAAAATCCGCTTTGCGCAAACATTGATCGATCTAAAAAGTTTTAAAGGCTAGTTTTAAGACTAAAAGTATCTCTGATACACACAAAAATAACATCGGAGTTTTTTTTTAAGGTGAAAATTGTTTATTTGCTCCTGTGGATGTAACTAAACCAGAAGATGTTGAATCTGCCCTGGCCCTCACTAAGGTAAAATCTTATTCGTTTTCAAAAAAAGATTTTTAAGTTAATGTCTTTGTAATATCAAGTAACCCTCAATTTAAAAAGATGCATTCCTGTATAAAAAGCTGGTTTTTTGGTATGCAACAATTTTCATTTAATCCCGCCGGGATATTTTCATTGAAAGATACTTTGAAAATCTACAAAGGCAAAAAAAAATCCGCAAAAATTCAATGATAAACCCTTGGGCTAGGCCCTCGGGTTTATAATTGAATCCCTCGGGGGTTTAAATTTCCATTGATTCTAATTTTTCTGAGAGTAAATGATACATTCCCGATTTACGATGGTCATTAATGTGGAAGGTAATGTCGTTTTTCTAGCTTGAAAAGTTTTTAATTCATGATAATTTCCCCATTGTTTCTGCACTATTCATAAAGAAAACCTAATTTACTAATGCTTTTAAGAATACGTTGTGACTTGGGACATGCCACTCTATAAATGAGGAGTCTCTTGTTGGTCAGTCTGATTACCAACATTTTAAAATTAAATCATGTGAACCCACTTTTATTTATTTCAAAGGACTAAAAATCTTTCTTGTACATTTTTAAGCTAGTGGTAAAATTTGTCGTCTGATGACTTATAACAACATTAAGTGCTGTATAGTTAAACTAGAAGTTTTGAGAGAATCAGATTATTTTATGTTTTTCTTATTTATAATACGATTTTCCTGTCAATATTGTTTTATTGTTTATATTAAGTTTCTCTCTTGTTAATTTAATGTTTGTCTCGATTTATTCATTTTCCCCTTCAGATGGTTTTATTTTCTGTGTTTCTTAATAAAGATATATTTTTAAAATATGTTTCTTCTTATTTAATGATGGGTTGTCTTTTGATAATGATAAAAATCAATCTTTCATTATAAATAAAATGCTTCATGTTTCTCCCAGGAGAGAAGAGTTGTAATTAATTTATGTAAAACTGAAAATAGTGATAATTCAAAACTCGGGGATGGTGATGGACCAAACATCTAATGATAATCTGGGGATATATATCACTAATGATAAACAGAATTGTTATGTCCACCAAAGGAAAATTTACAGAGAATCGGAATTTGTCTGTTTTTCAAAGGGGTTATATATCCCTGTACGCGCTTGTGTACAATACCAGGTGTACAATTGAAATACTATACATGGTACATGCCACGTATAAATTTCAACGACTAGGAGCGCTGACCCATATTTCACCAAATGCAGGGTTGTCTTTTGATAATAATAATAAAAATGGGATGGGATGCGATGAGATTTTTGATTTCATACAATGTGAGTTTGATTTTTTTTAAATGATTTGGTTTGATTTAATTTAATTTGATTCAATTTTTGATTTGATTTGATTTGATTTGATTTGATTTGATTTGATTTGATTTGATTTGATTTGATTTGATTTGATTTGATTTGATTTGATTTGATTTGATTTGATTTGATTTGATTTGATTTGATTTGATTTGATTTGATTTGATTTGATTTGATTTGATTTGATTTGATTTGATTTGATTTGATTTGATTTGATTTGATTTGATTTGATTTGATTTGATTTGATTTGATTTTAGGGTACATTTGGGCGGCTTGATGCTACAATAAACTGTGCTGGTATTGGAGTAGCTTTCAAGGTTTACAACTTCAACAAGAACAAACCTCACGATCTTAACGATTTTATCAAGGTACAGGGTGTCCCGATAAACATGATCTCAACTATTTTATGACGGTACAGGGTATTCCAATTAACACAATTTCAACAATTTTATCAAGGAAAAGGGTGTTTCAATGAACATAACTCAACGATTTTATCAAGGTTCAAGGTGTCCCAATAAACACAATATCAACAATTTTATCAAGGTACAGGGTGATCAAATGAACATGAACTCAGCGATTTTATTAAGTTACAGGTGTCCCAATAAACATGATCTCAACGATTTTATCAAGGGTGTTCCATTAAACACGGTCTCAAGGATTTTATCAAGGTACAGGGTGTTCCAATAAACACGATCTCAACAATTATATAAAGATACAGGATGCTCCAGTGAACATGAACTCAACGATTTTATCAAGGTAATACAGGGTGTCCCAATAAACATGTTCTCACTGATTTTAGCAAGGTACAGGGTGTCCCAAATACATGATCTCAACGATTTTATGAAGGTACAGTGTACCAGTAAATATGATCTCCACAATTTTATCAAGGTACATGGTGTCCCAACAAAAATTATCTCAACCATTTTATCAAGGTACAGGGTGTCCCAACAAACATGATCCTAACCATTTATCAAGGCACAGGATGTCCCAAAAAATGTTAACTCAACATTATAAATGGTACCTTGGTGGTACCTAGGTACCATTTATTGTTTATAATTTACTTCTGAAAATTAATTATCAAATCATTTTTTATTTTCTTGATTTAGGTTCAGATGGTGAATACTGTTGGTACATTTAATGTTATCAGATTATCAGTCGGACTGATGGGACAAAATCAGCCAGATGATGATAATCAAAGAGGTACTCCCCCCCAACCCCCGGCCCCATACCCTTTTTTGTTCTAAGGGCATTCATTGTTGACTTTCGAGCTTGCTTAAATATAAAAACATCTTAAACGTGTTTTTTCACAAAGCTTAGATGTTAGGGTATAGGATGAAGATCAAGTTGTTTTTCTATCACAAAATTAATAATTTTTAATTACGGGCTTTTTCTAAAATTGGTCTACATATTCATGCAGAAATACAAGGAAATAATCAGGATTAAAAACGACGTTATTTTCTTATTTCTCCTGAATGATGTGTATTTTAAATGGTCAACTACATAAATCTACTCGTTTTATTGGAGCGTAACTTGAAATTAGGTCTACAGTTTCTTTAAAGGGACTGTTAGCAAAATTTAAAGTAACCCTCTCTGCATAGATGACAATGCCCGATTCACAATGGTACCCTTGGTAAATAATGTGAAAGATATTGTCGTTTTTCTAAGTTTAGTTATTAATTCTCATAATTATAAACATTGATATATAATACTTACTTGATTAGACAAAATCTTACCTTTGTGAATCTGGGATTGTCGTCTTTGCATTGAAGAAATTACTAGAAATTACGCTTACAGTCCCTAAAATATGATAACATCAGGTGTGATTGTAAATACTGCCTCGGTTGCTGCATTTGATGGACAGATGGGTCAAGCAGCTTACTCGGCAAGCAAAGGAGCAATTGTAGGTTAGTTAAATATGTAATTAAACCAAACAAGGACAAAGTTTTTTTGGTTGAAAAATATCAAAATTTTTAATAGTTAAAATATTATATTGTATTTTTAAGTCGAACAAAAAATATCTATAAAAGCTGAAATGAATTTTTCCTAAAAACATTTCGTCGAGAAAAAGAAAAAGACACTTAACCATAATCATTTTTATGTTAGGGAAAAAAAACTAGATTAATTGATTTTAAATCCGAGAAAACCTATGAAAACTAATTTATTTACTAATTCTGTATTTGTTGAGAAATGACCCTCCCCTAGCCCGAGATCTGTCTGCTCAGGGTATCAGGGTTAACACGTTTCATTAATTTACTCTATATCAGGAATGACCCTGCCCCTAGCCCGTGATCTAGCTGCCCAGGGTATCAGGGTTAACACCATTGCTCCTGGACTCTTCGACACACCACTCCTCTCCTCTCTACCAGAAAAGGTTTTTATTATTTTTTAGTGCTTAGGATCCATTTAATTTTGACGCGGATCAAGATGAATCTTGATCCAGGTAATAAACATTTCTTTACGATTTGCTGATTTTTTAACAGATGAAGTTATTTTTCTTCTTTTTTCGTTATGCTAAAAACTATTCAGAGATTTTTAATCATCTTTTTTTTCAACCGTTAAGATTTGGATTTGAAATAAAAAGATTTTTATTTCCAGTTTTTGGTTGATATTTTGCCCATTAGATCCGGATCCGTGGATCTGCATATTTATGCGGATCCGGATCCAGAAACCAAAATATTGCGGATCCTAAGATTTTTTCTAAAAATCATTTAAAATAATTTTTTTGCAGAATTCTAGTAGTAGTAAGTCAACTTGTTTTTAGTTGGTTAAGGTCAAATCTAGTAGGTCAACTTGTTTTTAGTTGGTTAAGGTTAAATCTAGTAGGTCAACTTGTTTTTAGTTGGTTAAGGTTAAATCTAGTAATCAGGTTAACTTGATTTCTATCAGGTTAACTTGATTTTTATCAGTTAACTTGATTTTGATTAGGTTAACTTGATTTCTATCAGGTTAACTTGATATCTATCAGATTAGCTTGATTTCTATCAGGTTAACTTGATTTCTATCAGTTTAAATTGATTTCTGTCAGGTTAGCCTGATTTCTATCAGGTTAACTTGATTTCTATCAGGTTAACTTGATTTTTATTAAGTTTACTTGATTTTTTTCAGGTAAACTTGATTTCTATCAGGTTAACTTGATTTCGATTAGGTTAACTTGATTTTTATCAGTTTAGCTTGATTTCTATCAGTTTAAATTGATTTCTATCAGGTTAACTTGATTTCTATCAGGTTTAACTTGATTTCTATCATTATAACTTGATTTCTATGAGGTTAACTTTAATTATAATTTAGATTACTTAATTTATAGTGCCTAGTGCCTACGTTAAAATGAGCCAAATGTTAAGTTGTGTGCCTTGTGCCATGAGTTTCAATATTTTACTACCTTGCCAAACTGTGCCATATGTTAAGGTTCGTGTCTACCTTGCATAAATTGTGTCAAATATTTAGGCCCGTGTCTACCTTGCTTAAATTGTGCCAAATGTTTAGGTCCGTGCCTATCTTTCTTTAATTGTGCCAAATGTTTAGGTCCGTGCCTACATTTCTTTAGTTGTGCCAAATGTTTAGGTCAGTGTCTACCTGGCTTAAATTGTGCTAAATGTTTAGGTCCGTTTCTACCTTGCTTAAATTGTGCCAAATGTTTAGGTCCGTGCCTACCTTGCTAAAACTGTGCCAAATCCTTCAAGGCTCGGAAACCCGGACGAATACGCAGCTTTGGTTCAGGTAATATTTAAGGACATTTTCAAACTGAATTCTTATAAGTAACTGATAAATTATTTTTGTTAAAGACCTAATGTTTGCAACCTTTCCTTCCATGTAAACGTTTAATCTTTGCAACCTGTCCATGTAAAATTTAAGTATTAGATCTCGCAGAATTCTGAGTTTTACATATCAAACAGAGTTCATTTGTAGGAACTTAAATCTTTTTTTGTAATAAGTATAATATATATCTTTAAACCCTGATTGTTTAACCGTTTTAACCTTTAATCTTTCTAACTTAGATCTGACAGAATTCAAAGTTTTATCTATCAAACTGAATTTTTTTACAGGAACTTAAAACATTCTCCACATAACCTATTTGTCTATGGCATTTATCAATACAATCTGGAGGTGTTAACCTTAGATCTTTCAAACTTTTGAGTATTAGATCTGGCTGAATCAAAAAGGTCAAAGACATGGTTGCAAATATATAAGGATAAGAAAATTAGAATACAGAGCGAGTAATCAGTTTCTTTCAATATTTCTTTATTTCTAGAATGTCAGAGTAAAAATCTGTTTTGTTAAATGAGTCTGTGTCTTTATTTTAAGATTTTTTTGTGATATTTTTGTGATTTTTTATCACTTTGTGGTTATTCAGCAATCTTGAAACCATTTATTTTTATTTTTAGCTTGGTAAACTTTTCTGAGAAAATAAGTAGAAAATTTGAAAAAATTATTTAGATTTTCCTTAAAATGTTGAATCTTCTATGTTATAACTTTCTTGAGCTTAAAAAGGGAGAATATTTCAAGAGGAAAACGTTCCAAATCATATTTTAAGGGGAGAAAGTATTCATTAAAAGGGGAGTAATTTTCTATTAAAATTTGAAAAAGTTTCTATAAAAGGAGTAAAATTCTTATTTAAAGGATAAAATGTTCCAAATCAGAGAAGTAAAGAGGAGAAAATTGTAAACTGTGAAGGGATTAGTTATTATTGTTATTCAACCTACAATCATAATATCATATCTTTGCAAAGTTGCAAAACTACCAATTGTAATCCAATCTTTAATATTTATTTTCTGTTAATATCGTGAAATTTATGAACAATCTCTTTTTTCAGCACTTGGTACTGAACCATATGATGAACGGAGAAACTATTCGATGCGATGGAGCTATCAGAATGCAGCCCTAGTCCCTTAAACCTGGACCCTAGTTCCTTGATCCTGGACCCTAGTCCCTTAAACCTGGACCCTAGTCCTTTGATCCTGGACCCTAGTCCCTTGATCCTGGGCCCTAAAGTCCCCTAGTCCCTAGTCATTCTCCTTCTCTTACTCAGCTTGTTAAAGTGCCGTCATCGTATTATTAATCCACTCTTCCATTAGAATTGTGACATCACATTAAAGGAACAGAGTTCTTGCCACTAACTCAAATTCCTATATCTTTGCAACCTGAAAGTGAACATTTTTGGTATTTAAAACTAGAGTATTTGATCGAACAGAATTATAATTTAAATCAAAGGTCTACGACGATGGATGGCAAAAATATCGGTGTTTGTGGAAAGAACTCATTTCCTTTGCTTTAAGGGAATGACTGTATAAATAGAATTTGGTTCGTTACATTAAGATGGTACAACGAACCTTCAAACCTTAAACTGTAAAAATATTATTTAGTTCTTTACATTAGTTAGTTAAGATGGTACAACGAACCTTCAAACCATTAACTGTAAAGCTATTCTTCAGAAATATTGTCCTAAATGACAAATATTAGTCGTTGTTCTTCCATTACATGTTTTCGGAATAAATTTAGTTCACTAGTTCTAAATGTTCAGAAAATAATTCAATCTTACTTATAATACAGTTATACAACTTTAATTGGTCAATTCTATTAAATGATTGTTTAAAATACGATGGCATTCACTTCAAACTGAACAAGTTTGAATTATTTCAGTTTTACAAATAAGTTAATAAATGATTTGTAGCAATAATTTTTCAATCTTTTATTTTTATAATATCACGCACCTCTGACCCTTTAGTAAAAGTAAATTCAACCTATAAGGTCTGACTGCGTCAACCTTGTTGCACCGGCTAGTCCTATTGAGTGTCTGCCTTATTTACCCAATGTCCGGGCGATACAGTACAAACTGGGACTGGAAATGTTGACCCGGCTCGGAAATGCATATGTACTACGGATGCCCGTGATATGTAATATGATTGTATGTACTATGTATCCGGTATGTACGTACCTCTATTTATTAAGTAGTCATCTCTGATTGGATGACATATATGAACTCTTGAACCTCTCAACCGATCTGCCTCAAATTATGATTGCGGAACTCAGTAGAACATCTGGAATGTTCTTAGATAGGGTTAATCGGGTTAAGTGTAATACGTTGACTTTTATAGAGATTCCGCGGAATGATTTTATTTATTTAGTTATTGGAATTATTTAATTTCCTGGCTAAGCTGGGTTTCTAAGGTGGTGTGTATACGTGTATGTGTAAGTATGTTTATACAGGATGTCCCAATAAAATGGAAATTAAGTGACAAAGCCATACTTTATTATGTCTGTTAGAGTTTATTATATGAAAACGGTAAATGGCTGAAATGACGTGTCTGCAAAATGAACAATGAAGATAGTATTTTGTAAGTTTCTTGTTTTACTTTGTATAAAAGTATGCAGTCAAAACATAAATAAACAAATTAAAAACATAGCAGACGAAAATCCTACGGGTTACAGCTTTTTCAGTAGATATCCCTAATCAAGAGACTATATCGAAATCGTTACTTAATTCCCATGTTTATTGGGGACACCCTGTATGTCACTCTTTTTTGCGTCCTTAATTCACACTGTTGAACAATTTTACTGTTCTTCAGCTCTTGCTTCTTCTTTATTTCACAGAAAATTTTAAATGGCGACGGATGAAATATTGAAATATTATTAATAATTCTATTTTCTAAATTTCCAGTTGGTCAGGAATGGATCGAGTAAATAATTAAAAGTCAAGTATCAAAGTGAATTCTACGTAATTAACGCAAGTGCAACCCTCTGTCAAAAGGACTTGCAGTTCACAAGGATATTTAACACTCCAAACTATATTTTCCATCGTAACTAAGTGTTAAACTATTGTCAATTGGACATGCTAATTTTTACAATGGGGGTACACTTGAAATTACGTTAATAATCCCTTTCAAGATAAAATATCTCTAAAATATGACTCGGCGCGTCACGCAATAGTAAAATATAGAATTTTAACATTTAAAATTTAATTCCTCACTGATGGTACTTATTTTAACTGTCCGCCTGCATAATCAATAATTATTAAACTAGATAATTTTGATCTACTGGACTTAACATTAAACTTACAGTGATAACCAGTAAACTCCAAAATATGAAAACATCTTTTTAGACTCAAGGAGACGCAGCAATTGTGCAATGTAAGGAAACCCATTTTACTTAATAATAGATTTAATAAGTGTCTAGTAAAACTATTTGCTTTGTAACAACATCAAATTATCGCCAAAAAGTCGTCTTTCTTTCTGCGAGATTTCCGGTTACCACTGTACAATCCACAAAATTGTGGTGGCCCGGTCATAATTTCAAGTGACCCTCCATGCAAAGATGATAATGCCTGATTCACAACGTTACCCGTGAAACCTTTATCTGGTCTGTGGAAGACATCGTTGTTTCTCGAAGTTTGAAAAAGATATCTTAAAATACATTTTCCTGCAAGTCAGTCTTATAAAGAACCAACAATTAAAAATGAACAATTTTTGAAATTATAAACATTCATATCTAATTCATACTTGATCAAGCAAAGCTTTTAAGGGTACCGTTGTGAATTGGCCGTCGCCATCTTTATATGGAGGGTCACTTATAATTACATTAGAGCATTAAAAAGCCAAGATTTGAAAATAACAAAAGTTACAAAACATTATTTAAGTATTTTTAAATCCTGCAGCTTTTTCCATTGTCATGTCAAGGATGTAATGCAAGGAAAGTTAATTGCAGTTGCGTACACTCTGCGTATATATTGAAACAAATCTCCCTGGGCGGAATTTGTAAACAATAATAGATGCATCATTGTTCGTTTAGTATCCGAGGGCGTTAAAAGCATTAAATTTTGATAATTTTGATGACTTTGATAATTCACAGAATAGTTTCCTATGACCAAAATATTTTATTGATTTTTTTTGTGAAAGATGGTTTCCATGTCAGGCTTCGACATCCGTCTTGTGTTTACATTACCGCCCTGAGACAGTACACTGCAGTACAAAAGATGCGTACACCTCTGAAATAACTTTCCTCTCATCACAACCTTGGGTCATGTGATGGAGGTGACGTCAGAAATATTTTAGCGTTTAACTGCATAATCGTGCATTTAAAGGGACTGTATGCGTAATCTTCAAGGGACTCTTCATTGTTGATTGGGGCATTTCCGATTCACAAAGCTACCCGTCAAAGCTTTTTAATTGAGACAAACGATGTTATCTTCCACAATGTTGATCAGATTAGTGTTTAAAGGGTACCGTTGTAAATCCAGCATGCCCCAGCTTAATGAAGGTTCGAGAAAACTCAGTTAAGATTATTCAAATGGAAGAGAATAACCTTCTATCAGGGGCGTATACAGGAATGTGTTCAGGGGGGCGCTAAAAATTCATTCCTTCTATCAGGGGCGTATACAGGAATGTGTTCAGGGGGCGCTAAAAATTTATTCCTTCTATCAGGGGCGTGTACAGGAATTGGTTCAGGAGGGCGCTAAACATTTATTCCTTCTATCAGGGGCGTGTACAGGAATTGGTTCAGGGGGGCGCTAAACATTTATTCCTTTCCAGGGTGCAGCTCCCGTTGGGGCCTGGAAACCCAAGA